TAGCTCACCCCTCCCCATCCCCCTTCCCCCATTGCTCCCTCCATCAATCCCCTTACCCCTTCATTAGCTCCTCCTCCCTCACCCCCTCCCTTAACCCCCATGCCCATCACTCCCCCCTCCCTCACTCTGCACCACACCCTCTCCCACATCCCCTCCCTCCCTCCCCTCTCATTCTCCACCAGTCCCACCTCCCTCCATCACTTCCCCCTCACTTCATCACTCTACATCTACACCCCTCCCTCCACCCTCTCCCTTTAATATTGTATGTAGTAAAATAAAATTGTGTAGTCTTATATAATACATTTTTGTACTTAATTTTACCAGAATGGGAACTTATTCTAACTGAATTGCATATGGAAAGAGGATGCATTCCATCTTAAAAAAGAATGGATTCCATCTGAAAGAAGTATGGATTCCATCCCAGAAAGTATGGATTCCATCAGCTATTCCATGGAATCCATCCCCCAAAAGTATGGAATCCATCCCCCAAAGTATGGAATCCATCAGCCATTCCATGGAATCCATCTGGAATTTCTGGAATCCACCCCCCCTTCCATGGATTCCATATGGATTAAGCCAGGGAAGGTAAAGTACAGGGGATTTGATGATAGAGCAGTCCATGGAATTGTGGGGATGATGTTGTCAGATGCCCATGTGAATTCTAGAATTAAGTTAGAAATAAAGGCTTAAAGAAAGAAAGGAATGCATGCCATAAAGATTTCAGATACTGATTGATGACCTTCATCAACTGTGAGATTGTCACAGATCTCACATCGATCTGGGGAAATACAGGAATGCTGCCTGGTCCAAGCGGAATTCTGATCAGAAGCTCTGTGGGTTCTATCACTGTACAATGTAGAGGATAAACATTGCTTCCCAAACATGATAAGAAATAACACACAGGGGAGAAGAATATCAGCATGATGGTCCCAGTTGTCCAAGTTTTTGTCATGGTCAAAAAGCTGATGATCAATGGTGGAGTCGGTTGTTGCATCAAAGCCACTATAGATTCTAAAAGACTCCATTAGTAGCTGTGCAAGGAAAGGGTGAGTGTTGCTCACATTCCACTTGCAAGACCATCATTTTCATCATGAAACACATATGAAAATGACATGAGAGCTGATCTGAGGCAGCCCTGCTTGCATAGATCTTGTAAGGCAGACACCATAAGGACTGGAAACTCAGACTGGTTCCTGAGATAAAACAAAATGAGTGACATCAATGGTTCATTGTCAGGAATGGCTTATGTGAATAGTGTTCACAAGTTCAGTTCAGTCCGGTTTTTTGCCCCCAAAACGCGCAACCGTGGACCGCAACTGGTCTAGGACCGACCCAGATATTGAGGGAACCGAACCGAACCACCTAGGACCAGTCTTTTGCGGTCTATGGAGCCAGTTCAGACCGATCCAGACCGGTTTTTTGTGTATAATTTATTATACCAATATAAACCATTTGTATCTCGACTATTATTACTCTGAAAAATAAACGGGTTATATAAAATAGTAAAGCATGTAAATACCCGTCATTCTACCTATTTTTAAGAGATTTAATGAAGATGAGTGGTGCTTACCATCCAAATCATAAAACCATGGCCTAGGCCAGGAAGGCCTTGTGCATAGCTCCACATACTTTTATGAAAAGTATATCATATATGTCCCAGGCCCTTTTATGATAAGGATTTTTTTCATAAGAGGCCTTGTGCATTTCAATAACTTTTCATTGCAGGTCACAACTTATCATTAACTGCTTTTCATTGCTGCTGGCATTTTCATTGGGTGCTTTTCATTGCAGGCCAGCCATTTTCATTGACCACTTTTCATTGCAGGTCAGTCCTTTTCATTGACCACTTTTCATTGCAGGCCAGGATATTTCATTGGTAACTTTTCATTGCTCTCTAGGATTTTCATTGGCTACTTTTCATTGCAGGCCAGCCTTTCTCATTGACCACTTTTCATTGCTGCTGGTATTTTCATTGGTAGCTTTTCATTGCAGGCCAGGCCATTTCATTGGATACTTTTCATTGCAGGCCAGCCCTTTTCATTGACCGCTTTTCATTGCTGCTGGTATTTTCATTGGGGGCTTTTCATTGCAGGCCAGGATATTTCATTGGATACTTTTCATTGCAGGCCAGCCCTTTTCATTGACCACTTTTCATTGCAGGTCAGCCCTTTTCATTGGCTGCTGTCAGGTGGGTCATCAGGAGGGTGGTCACATGACCAGTTGCCTAAAATGGTTAAAAAACAATGCTTTCTGAAATTACAAAAGTTTATAGTCTGCTTTTCTGACATACACTGCATATTGTCCTTGACTATGTTAAGGTTCATGGGGATATGGCTGAAGGATTGAGTTTGCTTGACACCCATCTATCTATTGCTACATCAGTGGTTTTGTATCATACTCAACTTGTCATTGACATAAGTTGAGCCTATTCTATCCTTTCATGTTAATAGTTACTCTCCTCTCTCAAACTATACTTAACTCTGATTCATTAGACCATGATGAAAAGGCCTTACCAATTTCAAGATTGTATTTCTCACATGACTCCTCAATGAAGATTGAGAAGGAGACATGACCCAACTTCCCCTTATCCTTCACCTATCAGTCCCTCTAAATGAGCTAAGACTGAATGATGAAAGGTTGGAAGGTGACAAGAGATCATGCTATGAAAAGCCTGGATAGGCTGCCAGGTATCACACACAATTCATAACTTTCAGAGAAGTCACTTTCAACAATAACTATAGTCAAACATACAACAGTGGCTACTAATGTGAATACCAGGTCAAAGATAGGATGGTGGCTTCTGATTTGAAAAGAGAGGTCAACTGTCCTAATGCAAAAGATAGGTTGAGAATGATACCAAAACCAATGATGCAACAATGTATATATGTCAATCCTTCAACCATATTCCCATGAACCTTAACATAGTTCAGGACACTAACACTTTATGTCAGAGAAGCAGACTCAAGGGGCTCCCACTGGCGAAGTCCGAAACCCTCAACCCGGGTGGGTCGGTTCCTCTGATGTCCAAATTGGGCGCACTCAGGGCTCCCCATAACAGGAAGGATGCAGTACTTTACAGTGCCCCTCCCATTCCTGCAGGATTCCGGTCATTCCTGCGGATTCCGGTGGATTCCAGAGGAATGGGACCGGAATCCGCAGGAATGGGACTGGAATAGAAGTAAAATCACAGATACAACATACATTTACACCAATACACACTTCTGCATACTTCTCTCAGTACTTTTTAAGCTGATCAGTTTTCAGTATTAGTTCTGATCAGACCTTGGACAAAGTAAGGAGATATTATGTGACTGAATCTAACTCAGGCCTTCTGCTGACAACTTAATCTTAGGATTCCTTAGGACATTTATACTTAAAGAGGGAAGATTCATTTCAACTCATTTATTAAAAATACATGATGGAATTTATCTACATTGAATCTAGATAGAGGGAGGGGGAGGAGTGGAGGCAGGGGGAGGAGTGGAGGGAGAGGGGAAAAGTGGAGGGAGTGGAGGGAGTGAGGGGGAAGGAGTGGAGGGGTAGGGGTGCTGGGGAGTGGGGGGAATGAAGAACTAGAGGGGGGAAGAACTGAAGGGAGGGGCAGTGAGGGAGAGGGTAGGTAGGGAATGAGGGAATGAAGACAGGGGGTAGGGAATGAAGACAGGGGGTAGGGAATGAAGACAGGGGGTAGGGAATGAAGGGGGTAGGGAATGAAGGGAGGGGGTAGGGAATGAAGGGGGTAGGGAGAGGGAGGGAGTGGTGAGCAGGAAAGGAGGGGGAGTAAGGGAGGGGGAAGGGGATGGTGGGTAGTGGGTGAGCAGTAGGGAGAGGAAGGAGTGGTGAGCAGCAGGGGAGGGGGAGGGAGTGGTCTCGTTGGCGCGCATTGTCGACGCGTCATCGCGTCGTGTCGTCGTTTTCGCGTGTCGTCGTCCTGGCATGTTGTCGTCCTCGTTGGCGTCATGTCCGCTGGGCGTTGCATTGTGGGCGTTAGGCGTTGGCATGGGCGCTGGGCGTCGTTTCGTGGGCGCTGGCGGTGTACGTGGGCGCTGGGTGCTGTTTCGTGTCCGCGGGGTGTTGTTTCGCGTCCATTGGAGATGTACGTGGGTGCTGGACTTCGTTTCGTGGGCGGCGTGTTGTTTTCATATACGCTGGGGTGTTTTCGTGGGCGGTGGGGAGTTTTCGTGGACGTGGTGTGCCGTTGTGCACTGTCGTGGGTGCTGGGCGGCCATCGTGGGTGCTGGGTGGGGTGTTTTCATGGGCGAGGTGGTGCTGTTGTGTTTCGTGTGGGCGCTGAACGTTGTTTCGGGAGTGCTGGGGTGGTGCCGTCGTGGGGTGTCAGACCTGTTGCCGTCGTTTTGGTGCCACGTCGCAGTCAGCGACGTGGCACCTGGTTTTCGTGTTGAGAAACGAGGGGAGAGGGGGTTGTGGGTGCTTACCTGGTTTGTGTGCCGTGGTGACGTGGCACAGCGTTGTGGTGTTGGCAACGTTGTTGGATGTCGGGTGAGCGGCGTGGTGGTCGATGTGAGCCCCCTCACGTCGCTTAGCCCATGGCGGGCACTCACAACGTGAGGGAGGCGGTTACGTGGAGCGACGACGGTGGTGGTGGGAGGAGAGAGGGTTGTGTTTGGATGAGCGTGAAAGCCGTTGCCAAACAAACAATTGTTTGGCAATGGGCTTGCGCCAAACAAACCGGATTCCGGTTGCATTCCGTTTTTGCCAATCCGGGGACCATTCCGGTCACAATTCCGGAATGCCGAAATTCCGCCGGAATGGTGAAGCACCGGAATGATGAAAATAGCAGGCCTCCCTGCTAAATTTCACTCCTCCGGAATCCACCGGAATCCGCAGGAATGACCGGAATCCTGCAGGAATTAGGGGGGCACTGATAAGACCTCGGAAGGATGGCCCAGATCAAACACGGTTTCTCACACGGATAGATAGATAGAATACATCGAGTTTCTTATTTTTCTGCAGTCATCAGCCTATAACAACTCTATCTAATACATTGTATGACTATTCAGCAGCCCCATGATGCTTCTTTGTTGGAAATTCATCCCTTGTTGTGGATGTGAATGATGCCACTGATACAGTTGACAGGCCATGTTTGCATGACTGTCTGTCCTCATATTGTTGTGTTCCTTTTATATCTATACAGACTGTCTCATCTCCATCTCCCTCTTCTTCAGCATCACTACTGCCACCTTCTTCTTCCTCTATAATCACAGCTATTCCATCACTATCCAAAATGTTGTAGCTGTCTCTGTACTCATTGGTGTGAGAGCCAGGGATTCTCCCAATTGAGTTTCTTCTTTTTTGCTTATATGTGTTGTTACCATCCCTTTCCACAATGTTGTTGCAGTAATATGGCAGATCTGCCCTTGAGAGGAAGGAATAACCCACAAATATCACACCTGACAAGGTGTTTTGCAGTTCCAACCTCTTGATATACACCGTAGTTCTTTGATTCACCTGTTTCAAGATGAAACTCCACACTTTCTGCAGGCTCTTTGAGTGTAGCGTTATAGATCTTTGGTGTGTGCGGCATTTTCAAGCAAGGGAGAGAGGTGTAAGTGGGGTGTAAGGATTGAGAATTGTTATCTATCAAAATCTATCAACGTATCTACGTGAGAAACCGTGTTTGATCTGGGCCATCCTTCCTGTTATGGGGAGCCCTGAGTGCGCCCAATTTGGACATCAGAGGAACCGACCCACCCAGGTTGAGGGTTTCGGACTTCGCCGGTGGGAGCCCCTTGAGCAGACTGCAAACTTTTGTAGTCTCAGAAAGCAGACACTGCATACTTTTGTAGTCTCAAAAAGTGGACACTACAAATTTTTGTAGTCTAAAAAAGAGGACACTACAACTTTTGTAGTCTCAAAAAAGCGGACAGTACAAACTTTTGTAGTCTCAAATAGCAGACACTACAAACTTTGGTAGTCTAAAAAAAGAGGACACTACAACTTTTGTAGTCTTGAAAAGTGGACAATACCAACTTTTGTAGTCTCACATACCAAACACTACAAACTCCTGTAGTCTAAAAAAAGGGGACACTACAAACTTATGTTAGTAAAATTTGTAGTCTATGTCTGACATTTTGTAGTCTTTTGTAGTCTTTTAGTAAATTGTATAGTCTATTAGTAAACTTTGAACTTTGTAGGGTATGTCCAACTTTTGTAGTCTTTTGTAGTCTATCAGTGGTCCTTATGGACTATGTCAGACTTTTTGTAGCCTTTTGCAGGCTGTCCATGTCAATTTCCCTTTTTGGGTATGCACCTTCCTTTTTGGGTCAATTTTCCCACAATATGATAATTGTAGCCTCTTCTCTTGGCTTTCTAAATGTGTTGAAATCATCTTGTTTGGTTTTGTTCTCATGGAGAAAAATGCAAAAAAAACAAAAAAAAAGCTGGCGATGAGAATTTTTTTAACCTCATATCTCTATAATGAAAGCACTTTACAACATAATTCAAACAGATTCAGGAAGCTACAGTGTAGGACTACAATTTTTGTTTTTAACCATTTTAGGCAACTGGTCATGTGACCACCCTCCTGATGACCCACCTGACAGCAGCCAATGAAAAGGGCTGCCCTGCAATGAAAAGTGGTCAATGAAAAGGGCTGGCCTGCAATGAAAAGTATCCAATGAAATATCCTGGCCTGCAATGAAAAGCCCCCAATGAAAATACCAGCAGCAATGAAAAGCAGTCAATGAAAAGGGCTGGCCTGCAATGAAAAGTATCCAACGAAATGGCCTGGCCTGCAATGAAAAGCTACCAATGAAAATACCAGCAGCAATGAAAAGTGGTCAATGAAAAGGGCTGGGCTGCAATGAAAAGTATCCAATGAAGTGGCCTAGCCTGCAATGAAAAGCCCCCAATGAAAATACCAGCAGCAATGAAAAGTGGAGAAAGGCTGGCCTGCAATGAAAAGTAGCCAATGAAAATACTAGAGAGCAATGAAAAGCTACCAATGAAATATCCTGGCCTGCAATGAAAAGTGGTCAATGAAAATGGCTGGCCTGCAATGAAAAGCAGTTAATGATAAGTTGTGACCTGCAATGAAAAGTTATTGAAATGCACAAGGCCTCTTATGAAAAAAATCCTTATCATAAAAGGGCCTGGGATATATATGATATACTTTTCATAAAAGTATGTGGAGCTATGCACAAGGCCTTCCTGGCCTAGGCCATGGTTTTATGATAAAATATGGTAAGGACTAGTGAGCCCGAGTCAGTTGAGGAAGTTCAGCCAAAACCCAAAGAACAATGGGACTCGGACTCGGATCTTGAGAAACAGGAAGTTCAGCCAACAAAGAAGAAAGCAGCCACCAAGAACGACTTCGATGTAAAGGGGACAGTAGCTGAGCCTGGGTTAGACGATGAAGCTCGGCCAACCAAGAAGACTATTGATAACCTGAAACCTAAAGGTGAAAGCTTTTGGGAAATGGACTTTGCAGAGCCGTTGGGTGGACATGGGGTGAAAAGAAAATACAGTGATAATGAAGAGGATGCCCTCCCCAACAAGACTTCTCGGTTGGAGGCCGGTTACAAACTTGGCCCCAAAAACGGCCGACCTGGCACAATCAAGAAGGCTACTGGCTCCCCTGTCATACAAGATGTTTCCATTGACAAACCATGTACCAAGGTTGATCCACATGCCGGTCGCAGCCCATCAACTAACATTGATTTAGTCAAGTCGGCCATGGCTGTCCCTGTCAAGGCAAAACCTAAACCTCGGCCCATCAAAGGCAAGGTTTCCACTGAGCTCGGTATTGTGACCCGAGATCGGTCAAAGAGAATTGCTGAAGAGAGTGTTCAAACCACCCGATCCAAGAAATGTTAGTTTATATCTTTTTAGAATAATGTCAATTCGTTTTGTGTTGGAGTTTCACCCGAGTTCGTAATTGCAAAAGGTACATAAAACTACTTATTCACCCCGGTCCCGGGCCTTCCCCTTATTCGTTACAAACGGTTTTAGTGAAAGTAAGGTGGCATCCAATGCTGCTAAAATATCTCGATCAGTTTCAATCTGTTCAACCAACCTTTCTTTATCCCTCCTCATTCGAGTTAGAATATACCGATAATGGCTGGTCGTTGTAATGTTTTCAGGCAGGGATCTGACCGCCTCCTGGTGAATACGGCCTGAAAGAGAGTCCATGGCATCATCGTGGGTAAGTTCTTGAGAGTCATGCTGATCCAATTTGGCCTGCATGTCCTGGAGTACGGGATCGGGTGAAGGATCTGGGTCAGTGACCCTTTCCCAGACTTTGGTGAGCATCATCGTGGGTAAGTTCTTGAGAGTTATGCTGATCCAATTTGGCCTGCATGTCCTGGAGTACGGGATCGGGTGAAGGATCTGGGTCAGTGACCCTTTCCCAGACTTTGGTGAATCCCTCTATCATGTCGCCAAAGGTCTTATCGACACCGGAATTTTCCCACTGGGCACAGAGATCGTAGTTTCGATACATCCCCCTCGCACGTCGGGAGTTGGAATCCAACTCCACCAATTTGGTTGAACGTGGTGGGCGGGGTCCTAACCGACGATGTGTATGGATGAAGATCGGGTATGGAGCATATGCCATGGCCTGACCAAAGGCAGTTGGTATGATGGCCCTTGTGCTTTCAATTGGACCCAGGCTTTCCTCGGGCTCGTTTGGGGGCTGTAAACTCGGGTTGGCACGATGGCGATTGTGCTTTGAACGTGACCCAGGGTTTCCTCTGGCTGGCTTCTGGCTGCTTGACACAGGGGTAGATGGTTGAAATGAGAAGACCGACTTGTCCACATCTGTTATGATGGGTGAGCTAAATGCTTTTTGAATGTGAAGAGGAAATGTACAAACCCGAGATCACGACATCAGGCTTGTGGAATTCAAAGGAAAAATGAGAGCCCGAGGCCGGGGAGGACATTCCAGGTTTCTGAAAATCAAAGATCGACTGTGGAGAAACAGTGGCCTTTGTAAAATCAAACATCGCCTGGTCCAAACCAAATCTTTGGCCAGGGAAGACACTTTGGGTTTATCAAAATTGAAGATGGCCCGATCGAAAGTAACTTCATTGGTGGGGGAGGAGAGTTTGGGTTGGTCAAAAGTGGGCATTATGCCCGAGCTCGGGGAGGAGATTCCAGGTTTCTGAAAGTCAAAGATGGACTGGGGGGAGGGGGAAGACACCGTGGGCTTTGTAAAATCAAATAGGGACCAATCGAAATTAATGTCTCTGGCCTTTGCAGAAATGGCAGACGTTTGAAAATTGAAAATAGATTTGTCGAATGTCAGGGCTGGGCGAGAAACAGTCAAATCAATGGACATCGATTGACTCTCTTCATGTTCTAATGAAGACCACATTAATATCAATCTGTAAAGCTCGGCCCATCGACTTACATTGTGTAATGCTATCCACGTCGACTTCCATTGCTTGTTTGGTGGACTGCATTCCATCGTCGCTCGGTAGGTCTGTTTGCCCGATAATGATTGAAGGTTGGTCAGGTTATAAGACTTGCTTACTTGGGAGAATGTTTTGATGTTGGGCCATTTCTAAGGTAAGGTTGTAACGGTGTTGGTAGTAAAAGCCCAAACTGAATTATTTACCTTCCTGCACCTTCCTATGCTCCAAGTCTTTCATTACAACTTCTGCGTCAAAAGAATTAGTGACAATGGTTGCCTGGAAGATTAGACATTCTCCTACCTGGGTTTGTCAAAGACATATCAGCCATGGAGTAGATGGCTTTTCCAGGGATTGCAGTTGCTAATGAACATTGTTCAAGAGAAAGGCCCATTGTTTTGTTCGGCCTTGCAATGGCCCTTGAAAATTCAACCGTGGGAATGAAAGCCACCGATGATCGGCCGTGGAACATTCTGAGGATCTCTACTCTTCTGACACCACCACGTGACTCCATTGACAACTTTTCGACATCAACTTTCATCATCGTCTCGTTCTAACCCTTTGTGCCATTCCAACTCCAATGTCCTCCACCCTTACCATAGAAGCTAAAGCCCACAATCTCAACCCCGGGTGTTTGGATGATGTTCAGTTTCAAACAGAATCACTTTTGAGGTTCTTCAATCGAAATCAAGCAACTCTTATGAATTCCAATGACGCGAACCGACCGACCTTGGAAGCACGTGCCTGGGAGAAAGCTGTAAGTAATTACCTTATATTTTGTTGAATGACACTCAGTTTCACCAAGGTAACATTGGTGAAGATTTTGTCAGGCAAGCAGCTGTGGTGTGAGGAATCCCAGTGGCTCCATCCCACAAGGATCTGGGTATACACCGACATGTTGCAAGTCATGGGGGGGCCCTTGGTCGATTGGAACAGACTCTATGCAGTCCCACCCACCACCACCACCCCTACGTTCTTCATGGAAGGTTATGACGGCCCCTCTCCCCCCATTCCTCCCATTATGTCAACCATTTCTACATCGGCAAATTCGTCACTCCCAGCCCAATCTTCACTGCCCCCAATATTGGCAGACACACAAGCGTCATCTGTCCCGATACCGAATTCGTCGCTCCCAGCCCTGCCCCCAATATCGGCAGACACATCTGTCCCATTACCGAACGCTCCCCAACGCCAATCAACTCCAGAAGCTGGCCCAGCACCAGAAAAGAAGCCAGCCGAGCCCAAACCTCAACAAAGTCGAGCAAAACCCGAGGCCGGCACGAGCAGTGGGAGAAAGAGGAGAGGGGACTCCTTGGACGTCCGGCCGAGGAAGACCCGCATCGTCTTCATCAGTCAAAGCACCTGCAGTCGATGTTGCTGCCAGCTCTTCATGACACATGTTACAGTCATCCTCAAGTCACAAAATAGTGCTGTCTATGCTGTCCTAGCATAGACACCTTTGCGGGCTCATCTGGAAGCTTCACAGTAGGCCAACTTGGGCCCAACTTTGATTCCCATGTGCTTCAAACCCTGTGCACAATTGTGAAAGTAGTTGTTGTCCTGAGGGCACAAAAAAAGAAGAATGAAGTGGGTCAGACTCAACACACACATGCATTGACCAAGATCGAGGATGTTGAGGCCCGCCAGGATCTGGCAATGGCAGATTACAATGAATCTCATTCCCAACTGATCACACTCAGATTGGCAGAAAACAATTCGGTTTTTCTTCTGTTGAACCTTGCAGACACATATTGTAAACCTACTCACCTCAGGCGTGCCATTGGTAACTCTTTGGACAATCACAGGGGTCAGCCTAGACTCTCGGGCTCCAGCTGTGGCCCCTGGTCCCAGCAGTCCACCATCATCAGCCACACAGCCACCCCACCAGATTGGGACACAAGGGTCAACGCAAAAACCATGTTTGTTCTCTCCACTCATCTTTCCCTCCCTCCCCTCTGACCCATCCACAGGATTACACAATGCTGGTTCACTTAAAAAGAAAGGGAAGAAGCACAGTGGTTCTGCCACAGTAAGCAAATCAAGCAAGCATGTCAAGGGTACATAGTGTTTAGAAGTCCAGTCTTATGACTGGAAAAAAACCATAACCAGACCGGACCAAGACCGCAAAAGACTGGACCTGTGGTTATGGTCTTTTATTTTTGAGATGTTAAGACTGCAAAAAAACCGGTTAACGTGAACCGGTCTTGACCGGTTTGGACCAGTCTTTTGTAGCCCCTTAAATACCCTTTAAAACGCACCCAAGAACATACAATTTGGTACAGAATCGAGAGAGATATGAATTAAATTGTAAAATATTTTTGGAAATAGTAGATGTACCAGATTTATTTTATAGAAACACCAATTCCTAACCGAATTTAACGTTCTTGGGCTCGTTTTAACGCCAGTAGACATGTTAATAAATTTACCGATTCATAATTTTAAAATATTAGCCTAAAGACCGGTTAAAACTGATGCAGACCGAAACTGGTCTAAAGACCGCAAAAAGACCACAGACCGCGGTCTTTTGCGGTCCAGTCCAGTCTTTTTGACTTCTGGGAAAAGGGTAGACTGGTTACAGTTACGGTTAAAGCCCCTGGGTGTCAAAAGACCAGACCAGACCGGACTTTCAAACACTAAGGGTACGTCTCTACATAAACATGCCACTTGAGATTCGAGAATTCATTGGCACTCTAGATGGTTGGATTTGGACTGTTGGTGCTGCAGGAAAGCTCACAGAAAAAGAACTTGAAGAGTGGGTTGATGAAAGTGTGTCGTTATACCCACCTCCTCCTTGATCCATTGCTGACATCATCTTGATGAATCCAAGGTGATCATGTTCAATTAGTGTTTAAAGGTTCAGTCCATAGGACCACAAAAAGCCGGTGGACCAAACTGAACCAGACCATGGTCCGGTCTTTTTTTCGGTTGCAGTTGCCCCAATTTGGGGTTGGTCTGGTTGCTGGTTGCCTCATTTCGAAAATCTTTTAAAACCATTCAAAGACTGGTTTTAATCGGTTGCAACCGGTTAAACGGTCACGTACGTTACATACCCTTGTAACCACGTTTATTACCTTTTATTGGGTTTTTGTTTCATCAAAAACAGTTAAGAATTGAGAAAGATATAACCAAATCCATATTTTACCTGACACTAGACACATGACAAGATAATTTGTGTTGGAATACTCTAAAAATATCTTTTGGAAGTTCATTATTTTTCCCACCAGACCCCCATCAAAGATTCCATAACATTGATCTGCTCGTGACGAGAGAGCTCACGCTCGAATGGTTTTGTGCGAAGACCGAGCGCCCTCGCTTCAAGCACCATCCACCTCAGAGGAGGTCTACTACGATCCATCCCGCGGTTCTCCACATTTCCGCCTCCTCTAAATGTAAAGACATGACAAATTCGAACCCTCAGGTGGACAGGTAAATGTACTTACATATCCGAGTGCGTTCCCGCAAACCAGACTTCCAGGATTTGTGGATGTAGCTTGTTCATGCCCTGCGAGCGGTCAACCCTATCACTTGGGGATATATCTTTGGTAGTTGCGCCCTCATTCTTCGTGGATGGATTATCGCACTTTTCCGAGGATCCATGGTCAAGACTTGGAGGATTCTTGTCATCAGGTTTTGCACCACTGGCCGAACCTCCATAAGCGTACTCGGGCAAGAACTTGACCCGTCGCTCGTCGAGCGCCAGTGCATGACGGAAGAAGCAGACGTGTTTCATCCCGTCGACTGTCCGAGGGAGCATCTTCTTTCCGCGTGCAATTCCGATGGACGAGACAGTATCCCTGAAACTCTTATCGTAAGCGTACAGGGTTCCATAAAGGCAGAGTACGTATTACATACCAGACACCAATGAAATGCACCTGTACCTCATTTGAGAAGGTCAGCTTGAAACGCTCGGCGGCGCTGGTCTTGAGGTCCCCTGACTTCGACGATCCAGCTTCAGTCACTGAACTTGATTCCTTATCATCACTTTTCGGGTCTGCATATAGCTCATATGCACTGTAGATAATTGATCAACGAATAATAAGGTATAAAATAATTTAAGCGCACAATGGGATCTGCATCTCATTTCCCTTATGGATCAGGCCGACCTGGATTTTCCGGGGACGTCAACTGGGACTGTTAATGCTCTCAGAACATAGCACACCTTGTCGATCATTGCCGCGACTACGCGGACTTGGAATGCGCCACGAGAAAACCCTGTAGATCCCTCAGTATCGACACACGAGTGATATATTGTTCTAACGCACCGAAAAGAAATATACAGTCCCCACGCTCATAATTGTCCGACAACCAGCGATACGCACCCAATACTGTTCGTTCAAAATTCCTGAGCAAGGAAAGAGTTTTAAAAAACGAAGAGTATGTGTAGTATCCACTCAGCGCACCATGCGATCGCCAAATCGACCTTATGCATCAGCAAGATCACAATATACTTCTCTGCTTTTAGCGGCTTTTCTGCTTGCCACAAGCAAAGAAGCCAAAAAGCTGAGAAGCTATACTACCGAAAATGTAACAAACTGAGAAATTATGAAAAATACAATCTACATAAACCCATCCAGCTTTGTCTTCCTCCTAGGACCCCGTCTGGACCCCATTCTGGTATATACAAGCTACATATTGTATTCATGCGCAACGACAACCTGTGGTCCAGCAGATCAGATGTCAGTTTGAGCCCATGCCAGGGAGCTCAGCCTCAGCAGCCAGCATCGAGAATGTAACTGCATGAAGCAGCGTCCTCAGGCAGCGGCTAGCAGCAGTATATACTTTGAGGTCGGCACGTATGACGGAAAGGAAGAGGAAGGAAGCTCATTGGCGTCAATGGTGATGCGGTGACGTGTCACCATCACTCGTTTTAGACTCCGATCAAGTTGAACAAGATCCGTCACACCCCAAGCTTTCCCAACTTCCACGTCAACGTCCACGCTCCATGTTCCATCTTGGCTCCGTCCCGCCTTGACGTATCTCTCTTCATGGACTAACTTGAAGCTGGGCACTTCCCTCTGTGGGTCATTGCATCTGGTAAGCACATTAATCCCATCACTCTCTATTCTCTTCCAAACCCCTTCGCATCTGTCACTAGCGCTGTTCTGTTGTGGCTGCGTCCCAGCTCTGGGTTTGTCGGTACCAATCTTTTCTCTAAACAGCCGTTGCTGTCAATTTTGGGCCATGTGGAGGACTGAGCAAGGATTGAGTGTAAAGTATTAGCAAGAGGTACCGTTCATATCTCTTCCGTTCATTCACATTACTAATTCCTCTGTTCTATAGCCAAATCATGCCAGGTAATCTGCTACGTAGCTGGAAAAAACTGCGTAGTATAGTATGAATTGAATCAGCTTGTTATACTAACTTACATTAGTTTCTCTTTTGACGTCTTTGGCTTTTTCTCAGCTTTTTTTCACTTTTTCAACTTTTTGGTAAAGCGAAAAATTCAACTTTTATAAAAATTGGACTGGGCTTTTTGTCTTGTCGCTTTTCTACTTTTTTCCACTTGTAGCCACTTGCACAAGCTAAAAAAAGTAAACTGTTAAACTGCTGATGTGAGAGAGGACCTGTCGGTAGAATTTGAACGATTTCCAAGATGGCTGGGCGTACGTCCCGATACTACTGTTGTACCAAGTTTTCTGGTTGTCCTCGACGTCCTTTAAGATGCGGTTGTACAATTCTATAACATTTGTGTTCTTTGAAGAATGTCAGCAAGTGGTGCCGCTGGTCAGCCTCGCAAACACATACCTTCTCTCCGAACTGATTTGCGGTACCGTCGATGCAAACGATGAGGTTCCGACCACCGATCTTATGCTGACATAGTTTGATTTCTGTGTTCGAGGGAGTGACAAGACCAGCACTGGCAGTCGCTTCAAATCAAAGAAAGTCAGGGTTGTTCATCAAAGGACAGATTCAGATGCCAACAAGATAGTACTTACATTTCTCGCCTTTAACGGAGGGTATATGATCGTCTGGCATGGAGAAAAGGGAAGTGGGTAACTGTGAGGGAATGGATGGAGGTAAGGAGCCTAGCGCTCACTGGATGTTGCTCCAGATTATGGAGAAGCGCGGAGCCTCGAGGCTAGCTCGAAGCAGTTGTAAGCGGGTGACATGTTGACAGGATACACGGTATGTAGGAACGATCGAAGCGCTCATTACACCACGGCCCAGAACGCTGACTCTTGAAAATCTGAATGGGCCTTCCATAGTGTTGCCGTCGAAGCGAAGTGACTTCGAGGTGACTTCGATTCGGTTCGAAAATCACACCACTTCGTGTCACTTCGAGGTATCGAAGTGAGTCGAGGTGAATTTGTGATGCGGCCCTTCCAGCTAAATGCAAAACCCTAGACACCTCCCGAAAATTTCTGGTGTCTGCCTCGCTTTGTGCAAACAACCGCATTTGGCTCAAGTTTAGCTCAATTGGAGCGTGGAGCACTCCATTACATGACATATACCTGCGTTGATGGAGGACTTGCGTCATTCGCGGCTACTTCCTTCCTCAAATGGTTGTTTGCACAAAGCGAGGCGGAGTCAAGAAATTTCTGCAAGGTGTCTAGGGTTTTGCATTCAGCTGTCACGCGCACGCATCGCTAATGCTTACCTCTGTATGTACTAGTTTGCCTAAACCAAATATATTCCATCGACATTAGATATGTAAAAAATTGAACAAGAAAGTATACACGTAGTGTAAGTGGATGAATGTCCTTGGACGTCTATGTAATGCAACCAAACTCTGAAGAGGGAAAATAAAATAGGAAAAGAGAAAAAGCCTTGCGAGCAGAGACCGCCCGGGACCCTGTGCAATAATGATAACCTCCACCCAACCACTCCCAATCCAACCCCTCAATCACCCCCCAACAAGCTGCTGAAACAACAAATACGAAATGCCCTCACAAAGCATCTCAATTTTCTCCGCCATAGCCGCAAACTTGAACTTATTCCCATACCTCTCCAATCCCTGCTGATGCCTCTCCAACCTCTTCACAGCATCTCCCAAACTCCTTCCTTCTTCCATCCCCTTCCCCTTCACGAACCCAAACAACCTGCCCCCGATCCCACATCCACGCCTGCACACCACAGCTCTCCTCAACCCTCCTCACAGACTCCTTCACCACGCCAGAAACCCCACCATTCGAAGTGGATGCGAGGTGCTTGACCACGTCCATGAGCGCGACGTATATCTCGCTGTGGACCACCCAATCGCGCTCTGCGCCAAGTGTGTGGGATAGGAAAGCGTGCATCACCGACGGGAGGTAAGAGACCGTGAATAGTCGTAGGATGGAGTGATGTATCGCGGATCCAGACGACGATTCGGTTTCAGACGCAGAGGAAAGGGAAGCGGCTTGAACAAGCCAACTCAATACGTTCTCAACGTACCCACCAACACCCCCTCAAACGCCCTCGTCCTCTTATCCGTACGCGAAATCACCACATTGATAAACTCCCGCGTTGGCGAATTCGCAACGAACCCCGCGTATTCCTTATCGAAGCTGCACAGCACTTCGAATAAAGCAATGGCGCAGATGGACGGGCAGCAAGTCCGCACTGAGCATGACTGGCCGCCGGAGCAGTTGGGTGGACACCGCGTGGGTTTGAAGCATCCCCTGCAGTGGTTTGTGTTGCAAGATGTGCAGGGGAGGTGGAGGAGGCGGGGGGAGAAGGGTTCGGCTGCCTGTGTGAAAGGTAAATCAGCGTGAAGAAGGCAAGAACAAAAGAAGAAACATACACAAGAACCAGGACTCTTCACAACCTCACGACACCTCGAACACCGCCCACTCGCAGTGAAAAAATCACGGTGATGCGAAGGTTCGTGCTCTGGCGAAATGTTTTGTGCCCTAGAACGCGTAGCCGGACGCGTTGTGGGCGTTACTAGTGGTGTAGGTGTCATCGTCAAGCCGAGACGAAGGTCCCGCGCGGAGGCTGACATCTTTTCTTCTATAGGTCGTGATTTCGTTGTTGGTGCCGAAGGTTACTGCGGAATGATGGAGGGCGTCATGCAATGGGTATCTTGTCCTGGTTGTGTTGGGGAGAATGAGGATGGGTCTGGCGGTGAAGCTGAGACGGAAGGTGCGCGTGCACGCCGGGAAGAAGAGCTCGCAATGGCCCCAGTCCCTCCAGAAGGCTTTCGGGAATGTGTACGTGAGAGCGGGGAAGTCGAGGGGAACATTGATGGTGGGGATGATGATGGAGTCCCAAACCTCGGATCAGCGTCGTTCCGGATGAACGTAAGCGGTTTCTCTACGTTATTTCGTGGGCGTAGAAGTCGGTTTTTGCACTCTAGGGGGTCTTCGTGACCTGCGTGGAGAGGTACGTGGATGGAAAACAACAATTATAGAGTTGTAGATGACTTACCGATGTCCAAACAGCTCTTGGCGACGCATCGTCCGTCCTTCACCAGTCAATATTCAATCGCCATCCTCTGACGTCAAGGTGAATCAGAGTGATCGCCATCCCTCGCTAAACCGTCGTCACCATCCTCCGTTGGTCTGTCCAGCGCGACGTCGTTGAAATGTAGCCAGGATCCGAAAACGTTGGACACGAGTCCGAAAATCATAGATAGATGGCGAGGAATGATGAGTCTATGCCCGAGCATGTTTCAAACGGAATGAATACGGGGATAAGGCAAACGACGTACCGTTACCGCAGTACGCGGTTGGGTTTTGGGAAGAACTACGTTGATCTTGCGTCTATCGTCCTAGGTTGCTGTTAGATAACGCGAGAGATCATTGGGGCCCCACCCAACCGTATATGATGTGTATTCCGAAGATACAGCGAGTTCCCCGTACGGGGTCAGGGGAAATGAACGAACAAGTTGGATCCACGATCTTGAGTGGCCAAAGTTCGAACACATAACACCTGTTTGAAAAAAAAAAAAAAAAGTCTTGTGAGTTGGACTTTCAAATTTCAGCCACCCTCAGGATGAAAATTTCGGCCGCTTGTGCAAGCGGTTTTGGGAACGGGTGCAGGGAGTGTCAAGGGAGTGTTGCGACGAGCCAACACGTGTTGGGTGAGAAAGAAATATTATTATTTTCGGGCCGATGATTCCCCTTCCCAAAATCCGTTTCGATGCCAATCTAGACGCCCAACCGATTGCGAGATATTCGATCTTGCCCTTTACCAACGACAACGACCATCATGCATTATGCATCATGGTTCATTCTACTAGCGCCCAAGCGCAAGCGCAAGCGTAATATATCCTTCCTCCAATCTCATTCTAAGGTGTGTATAAATCTCTTCGATATCTCTTCTTACATCTCACAATCATCTTCAGCTATAATCCCATCATGACTTCGTCAACAGTACAAACGATGCCGGGACCCAGTGAAATGCCCGCCTCACCCGCTCTCAGCCACTCGAACAGCTCGTTCTCGCTGCGGAATTTCGTAGCCGAAGAGGATGGCTTCAGCGCTGCCATGGTGAAATCCGCGGATATCTGCACCATTGCCTTATTCGAAGTGCTGTGCAGTTTCGATAAGGAGTACGCGGGGTTCGTTGCGAATCCGCCAACGCGGGAGTTTATTGCGCGCACGGACAAAAGGACGAGGGCGTTTGAGGGGATGTTGGTGGGTACGTTGGAGAATGTATCGGGCTTGTTCAAGCTGCTTCTCTATCCACTGCGTCTGAATCCGAGTCGTCGTCTGGATCGCGCATACATCCCTCCATCCCCCGGCTATTCACGGTCTCCCACCTCCCCTCCGTGATGTACGCCTTCCTATCCCACACACTGGGCACAGAGCGCGATTGGGTGGTACATGGCGAGATATACGTTGCCATGGTGGGCGTGATCAAGCACCTCACTTCGAGTTTCGAGTCGGGTTCGGGTGGTGCTGGGCCCGCTGGGGTTGTGAGGGAGCCTGTGAGGAGCGTTGAGGAGAGCTGTGGTGTGCAGACTTGGATGTGGGATCGGGGGGAGGTTGTTTGGGTACGTGGGGAACGGGAAGGAAGGAGACTGGGAGATGCGGTGAAGAGGTTGGAGAGCCATCGGGAGGGATTGGAGAGGTATGGGAATGAGTTCAAGTTTGCGGCTATGACGGAGATGCTTTGTGAGGAGGTTTCGTGTTTGTTGTTTCAGTCAATATCGTTCTTCCCTTCTTCATGTTGATATCCTCTCTGCTTCCTCTAATTCCGAGTCGTCTGGATTGCGGATATCCCTCCATTCCTGGTCGCCCTCCTGTAATGTCCGCCGTATCTTTTTAGATTAGATTTTCGAATAGACCCATTGAACCAATAGCATTTCGGTGGCACATATGTAACAGTCGCGAACACCGAAAAAATGCCTTCTTTCCAGCATTTCGCCCTCCTTTTTATATATGTAGGATCATACGTTCGCATCCCGCGGGGACACTCGTATGATCAAAAAGAAAACTCTCCCGTGATCTCGCATGAGACCACGGCAGAGAAAGTAGGTTATTCATACCATACACAGGACATATGTATGCGCTCGGTGAGTATTGTTAATAAATTGTACACAGGCTATCCTGCTCAAATCACTCATTTGAAAAATATATAGTAAAATAGGCATACGTTATACCAAGTAGAATAATCGAGGGCGCAGAAGATGAACCCTGTAATCTTTCACCCTACCCTTTGTTTCGCGTAACCACTCCAGCTACAACGGTCACGCGTCCGTACTACCCTCTCCTCCTCCTCCTACTCCTACCTCTCGACGTCGACGCCTTTCGCTCCATCTTGTTCGTCTCCGATCGATAAGGCCTTTCCGTTCACCATGTGTTTTGTCGTCGCTGATTGTCATCCAGTCGTTTTGGATGCCGCCCACGGTGAGTCCCCCCATTGGCTTCCCTCCCCGCTTTCCTGATACGCTCGCTCGCCGTTTCAAGACTTTATTGGGCGTTCTTAACATCAGGTGAGTACCGTCGTTTAACCCACACATCAACGAAGATAACTTACTTGATGTTTTGAGTTGGGATTCTTCGTCAGTGCATACGGCCATACTGAAGGTACGTCAGTTTCGAACCCTGTGTTTGAAAACGGTTGCTTACCATGCGACAGTAAATGGCCACTGTGGATTCCCTTCGCCCGCCACCATTCATGCAGTTGAAAAACTAGATTGAACATATCGATGGGGAAGAGTGATTACTCTATGCCCGAACACCTTTCAGACGGAATGCCTCTAAGTAAGCACCTTCAGCCCTTCATCAATGACAGAAAACATACCGTTCATCCAATGATATCTCAATCGTTACTCCTCGATCCAGGGTCCTTCGCCTTTTGCTCCTTTATCCGCTGATACATAAGAAACTTTCCATCATCGTCTCCTCCAACCGCCTCCTCCACCAAATCCGCCAAATCAATAATAGCCCTATCCAAAGTCCGAACCACATCAACCGCAGTATCCCAAACCTCCGCACCCTTGCTCTTCACCAAAATCTCATGCACCTTCTCCGACACCTCCCTCAGCACTGTATGCGCCTTGACAGCAGGCTCCCCTTCAGACCGAACGAGCCGCGTCACGTCCTGAAAGAAGTTGTCAATAACGTCTTGGGGAACGTCCGTGAATGAAGAGCAGAGTTCTCGGAAGTACGACAAGGCAGCGGAAGGCTCCAGGAGATCCACCGCACCAAAATCGCCATCGGCTCTTTGGATGTGGATGAGGCACGTTAAGAGGTAGTTCGTTTGGTCGTACTCGTGGATCAAGTCCAGCATGGCGTACATCAACGTGAGCGTTGAAAAGGCTGCGGCACCTAAAGTCACGAGTTACCCCCAAATTTGAAAAGTTCTAAGTAACCGCCGAGTAGCAATGCGATGCACGTACCGATGACTAGACCTTTGACTTTAGACCTCGGAGTTCCATCCTTCCTGAACAGAAATTTTGAAGCTAAACCGGCTGGCCTGGCGCTGAAAGACGCGTTGTGTATTATACGTCGTCTTGGTGCTTGGAAATGGCGGCTAAGAGAGCTTGTTGGCCTTGTGGCGGCCCTCCACGCAAGCATTGAACGGCAGAGTGAACGAAAGGACTGTTGTTTACTGTTGTTACAGGTTTGTCTTCATATGACAAATTAAACAACCACTTCATTGACAAACGCCACCATCCTTCAGGCGCTTCAACTGGACTCTCGAGAATAAATGTCGGACTCCAGCAGACTGTTAAGGCGATGTAATGGAAGCAGTTCCGCTTATTGTCCATGTCATTACCTAGGGACTGTCATGGATCGGCAATAACCGGGTATTATCCGTGGCCGTTGATACCCGTTATCCACGGATCAGACCCGTGGATATATATGGAAATCCGTGGATATCTGTGATCCGTATACTATATTTAATAATATTTGGGCAGCCTTAGCCACACACCAATGCACGACTGTCCTTTGTCAGCCTGTGGAACTCATCAATTCTTTTGAACAAGCTTTAGACCCGTGCCTACGGCATGGCACTCGCTAATGCTCGGCCGTTCCTCCAGCACTAGTCACAGCTTGCCAGGGGCACACCCCCTGGACCCCCTGGTACACATGTTTAATCCTAGTTCTGGTACACATGTTCAATTCTGGCTCTTCTTACATCTCAATCAAAATAAAGTGACATTTATCAGTACTTTTACCATTTACATCAATCTAATAATACCTCTGGATAGACTACATTTTGTGTTACAGTTTGTTGTGAACCATCTTTGAAGAGAACTTTGATACAGTTGCTTGATGTACAACGTGAAAGAGCCACATAAAGTTGTCCATGTGTAAATACTGGGGTCCGAACATCCAGTCCTAAATGTTTCACTGACTGTCCCTGAGATTTGTTGATTGTCATGCAAAAGGCCAGGCGAACAGGAAATTGCCTTCTGCATAACTGGAATGGAAGTTCACCATTTGAAGGCTCAAATCTTATGCAGGGAATGAATGCTGTGTGTCCTGCAAATTCTCCTCCCAGAATGTGTACTTCTAAAACTCAGGAAGAGGCACGGGTGAGGATTGCCCGGGTTCCATTGCATTGTCCATTTGCTGGATCAATATTTCGAAGGATCATTACTTGTGCACCTATCTTGAGTTTCAATTTTGCTAGAGGCATTCCACTAAGGTTGATGGAATTGAGGTATTCTACTGGGTATTCAAATTCACCATCCACACCTCCTTCTCTCATAATAGAGTCTGCTGAGTGAAATGTAAATTCATTTCCACGCATGCATAATGCCTGTAAATGAGCAGGTAAGTGTGGATACTGAATACCATTTTGGTTAGGATGCCCCATATTCTGGAAAAAAGCTTGTTAGACAGATGGAAAATAGCCTAATGGTTTTTCTTACCACATCTACCATAGCAGCAGGTGGAAATAGAGGTGGAGGGGCAGCAAGGGGGGCAGCATGAGCCTAAAAGATATATTAAATATTAGAAAAAGAGATATAACTCTGCAACCTACCTGATTTTGCAAATTACCCACTTGTGCAGCCATCCCAGGAGTAAGGTGAAGAATTTGACCATTATATAGAACCTCAACAAATGGATCATCATCTACAGGACCTTGAGGAATTTGAAGAGGAGCAACAGGGGGTGGAATAGGGAAAGGAAGAATAAAAGGTACACCACCACCAACAGCAGGATTTTGAGGTGTTCTCCTATGCTCAGGACTTTCCAACATCCTTTCTTGACACTCTCTTGCCCTCTCAATATTTCTATGCCTTTGTGGAGTATTAGGAGGAGAATCCCTAGGGAATAAATGATAGTTAAGTAATAAAGGCAGGGAGCAAAAGAAATATCCTACATCAAGACCAAAAGGACAACTGAAGCATATATTCTGATTACCAAAAAAAAGAGAAAAAGATCCACATATTGAAGCAACTAACCAATCAGCAAAACCTTGTGAAATCCTATCATCAAAAGTGATCAGAAGCAATCCAAGTGGACAAAATGTCAATTGAAGGTGTCTAAAAATAGTTGAAGGCTTTCCATAATGATCAAAATGTTATCCAGAAACTTACAAAATAATGTATCAGAGTTCGTGGTGGTTTGTGGAACAGTGAGGCAGGAGCAGCCTGAAGCCGTGTTGAGAAGTCTCGTGAGAGTGTGAAGTGCTTAGTAAGATAAAGCTGAATTTGTCAGCCATCAATCCTTTGTGTTTTCATGTATAGACAAGCTTTAGACCTGCACCTATGGCGCGGCACTCGCTAACGCTCGGCCATGCCTTTGGTGCTTGGTCACAGCTTGCTGGGGGCAAGCCCCCTAGACCCCCCGGTACGCATGTTTAATCCCAGTTCTGGTACGCATGCTTTATTCCAGTTCTGTTGTGCATGTTTCATCCCAGTTCTTATACTTCAGGTAGGGGTGCACATTCCGTCTTTGACAGATCAATAGGGCCATTAGATAGGTTCTACAGTGGCCTCTTGAGTCTTGACTATTTATGTACTTACAGCAAAATGGCTGAGCAAATTCATGTGTTAACCGATAAACATTTGAGGGGACAGACAAAGGCTACAGGAGTCTGGCATTGTCAAAGTGCCTATAACCTAAGCTGCAGAACTTTCACAAACACAATTTACCTAAGTATCCCATGCTGCTAAGTTCATCCTCAGAATCCCTTATGACATTCAACTTTAAACAGGTAAAATTGAAGTGTATTTGATAATTACATAGGAAGTATTCTACTACATTAAATGTTTAAGGAAAGGGGGATGTTAAAAAGAAGGGGGATGGACAGGCAGTGGTGAGCCTTATCATCATTCGTGGTCGTGGTGCCGGGCACTCATCGCCCATCCAGGGTAGTGGTGCTGGTCCCTCGTCCATTGTCGTACCACATTGGCATCGCGTCGTCGTCGTTGCTGTTGTTGTCACGTCGTCGGCCCCTCTGCGTCATGTTGTGCCCTGGTCCCTCGTTGGCCCTTGTCCTGGTCATGTTGTTATTGTCTTCATCGTCCCATGTCCTCGTCGCGTCATTGGGTCGTGTTCTCATCGCGTCATTGTCCTGTGTCCTCCTCGTTACGTCGTCGTCATCCCATGTGGCCAGTCTGTCGTCGTCCTGTGTCTCAGCGAGGTGGGTAGGGATGAACGTGGGATGGGGGGTATTCACCGTGTTTTCGTAGCATCGTTGTCCCGTGTCCTTGTCTTCTGTCGTTCTCATCGCGACATTGGGTTCCTTCATTGTCCTGTGTCTCAGTGAGGTGGGTTCGGATGAACATGGGACGGGGGTTACTCACCGTGGTGTCCTAGAGTAAACAATGACGAACGACGTTCGTCGTTTGGTTGCCACGTCGCTGTCGGCGACGTGGCACCTGGATTGCGTATTAGTAAAATGAGGGGTGGCAGGGAGCTTGCTCACCTGGGCTCCTTGTCGCCTTTGTCCGTTTGTGGGTGGTTGACCATCGCTCGTAAGCCATGGTGGATGATGGTGGTCGGGATTGGCTGGTGCTCGTTCATCTTCGTTTGTAGGTGGTCGTTTTTGTTTTTTGAGCGTGACATGGCCCTTGCTTCTCATGTGAAAAAGGGAGAGGGAGAGGTGAGCCATGTTGCTCACCATGATTGATGTGGATGCATCGTCACCGTCTTCGTGTTTGTTGCCAATGGCGACGTGACCCCTGTTTCTCATGTGAAAAAAGGAGAGGGGGGAGAGAAGCCATGTTGCTCACCTGCAATGATGGGGACAGTGATGACGACTTGCATCGTCACCGTCTAGACAACGTGGCACGTCCGTTGACATGCCAGGTCGTCGGGGTTGTCCGTTGTTCGTCATTGTCGTTCGTCGCCGCCTGTGTGTGCTGTCCGTCATTCATGAGCCATTTGGGATGGTGGTGGTCCATTTTGGCTGGTCTTCGTTTGTGGGCGGTCATCTTCTTGGTGTTGGGCGTCGTGTTGTGGTTGTGGCCGTGGTGTGACGTGGCGTTGCCATGGCGTCATTGTCGTTGTGCAGTTGTGGTTGAGTCGTGCACTGAAGCGAAAGGTTTGTTTGTGCATGACTTGTTCATGACTCATGTGAGTTTCCGGCAAACGCCGCTCATGCCGCTCAGTATTGCAGCACGGTTGCTTACATGATCTATTATGTAATAACTGTCAACCTTCCTCTCTTTATATATTAGATATGAATATTTTTTAAATTTCTTTCACTCCTTCCTAAGATAAAAACACTCTTTGATGAATTTGAACATAAATTTATTGAAATACAATTATTTCTTCAGTCATTCTTTTAAATTTAACTCAGATTTTATCATTCCACACTATTCAAGCATTCATGGAGTGGACTATGTTACACCTTTGACTTCAATGCATACAGAGATCAATTTGGTCATGAATAAATATTTAAGAGGCCAGAAACAGCCCAGAAAGACAATGTGTATATGACAGATCAGTGATAGAGATATACCATACACATCTGTGACTCAGTTTGCACCAAAAAATCCTGAAGTGATATTTCAAAAACAAAGATATAAATTACTTATACTTATTGAACCTTCCAAGCCATGTATGACACTGGGGTGTATTTGATGCTTATCTGGCATCCAATCCTTAATAGTATGCATAAAGAGTGATAAAAAGGAGTGAAATTGGATTAATAGTGAAAATAAATTAAAAAATGCTTGCTTCCAAAGAATTTGGGGTGTTTTCACAGAATTTGAGGATGGGAGAAGTTTGACAAAGTATGAATTTCACTAATAACAGCTATAAAATACAATTTAGAACTTTTATAGTTGACTTTTCCCAATTTTGAAGACTTACTTCATATCCAATTATGATGTTTGCTTTTTATGAAGATGCCAGTGATATTTTTATGAACTGAGGCTTGATCCTTTCATTCTCCACCATTATTAAAGAATGAGCTTCTACTGAAGTTCACATAAGATATTACAGTGAATTTTGTTATAACAAAATTCTCCTAAACGACAGCTTTCTAACGCATATTTTTTCGTGGAAAACGGCAAAGAACTGACGAAGATAGATGGAGGGCTGGTCTGTGCCACTATACCCACGGATATATCCATACTGTGGCTTATCCAATCCGTGGGTGGGAAAATCCACAGATCGGGTACGGATAATACCCGGATGTGTCCATGACAGTCCCTATCATTACCCTTTTCGTTCTTGACCTGGTGTTGCCTGGTATTTTCCACTGGTTGCATTGCCATTGCCATACTCTATATAAACCCCTCCAACCTTGAATCTGTGTCAACGACTCCTATGCAGGCTTTTTTCTGTCGCTTGGCCATCTCTTTCTCCTTACGTTTCTTTGAACAATACACGACACAATACGATACTTTCTCAAAAACTAATGTTCCTTGGCACCATCCCATCGACTCTCCTTCTCTCTGTCCAAGGCGTCTGCCTGCACAACCACCGCCACGATATCAGTGAATTTGCAGAGAGATGCGACAAGTGTTAAGTCCGTCACACACAGCGATACTGTCTAGGGGCTAGTAGTGAATAAACTACTTGTTCTTTCTAGGCGGTAAGGCTCTGACAAACTTGATGCATTATCTCTGGATATCTCATTTTGCTTTTCATATGAAAGCCTGGCGCTTTCAATGAATATTTCATTCTTAGCTCCAGGACATTTCATTGGAGTTTTCATATATATATCTGGCACTTTCATTGGATATTTCATTGTTAGCCCCAGGATATTTCATTGTGCTTTTCATCTGAATGCCTGGCACTTTCAATGGATATTTCATTCTTGTTCCTAGGATATTTCATTGCACTTTTCATAGATATACCTGGTGCTTTCATTGGATATTTCATTGTGCTTTTCATATATATCTCTGGCACTTTCATTTAGTGTTTGGAAGTCTGGTCTCGTGACTGGAAAAAGACCGTAACCAGACCGGACCAAGACCGCAAAAGACCGGACCTGCGGTTACAGTCTTTTATTTTTGAAATGTAAAGACCGCAAAAAAACCGGTTAACGTGAACCGGTCTTGACCGGTTTGGACCGGTCTTTTATAGCCCCTTAAATACCCTTTAAAACGCACCCAAGAACGTACGATTTGGTAAAAAAACGAGAGAGATATGAATTAAAATGTAAATTACTTTTGGGAATAATAGATGTACCAGACTTATTTTATAGAAGCACCAATTCCTAACGGAATTTAACGTTCTTGGGCTCGTTTTGAAGCTATTAGAGATGTTAATAAATTTACCGATTCATAATTTTAAAATATTGGCCTAAAGACCGGTCATAAACCGGTTAAAACTGATGCAGACCGAAACCGGTCTATAGACCGCAAAAAACCGTGGTCTGCGGTCTTTTTGCGGTCCGGTCTGGTCTTTTGACTTCTGGGGAAAAGGCAGACCGGTTACGGTTACGGTTAACGCCCCTGGGCATCAAAAAACCGGACCGAACCGGACTTTCAAACACTACTTTCATTGGATATTTCATTGCTAACCCCAGGATATCTCATTGTGCTTCTCATTTGGATGCCTGGCGCTTTCAATGGATATTTCATTCTTATTCCTAGGAGACTTCATTGCACTTTTCATATGTGTACCTGGTGCTTTCAATGAATATTTCATTTTTAGTGGCAGCTGACCTTTCAGGGTCCAGGGTGCATTTCCAAATGTAAAATAGCAATAAAATCAGGAAAAATTAGGGCTCATTGCTGATCATCTTGTTGGGTAACATTGTCAGGGTCTAGGGTCCAGTTCCAAATATGGTAATATATCCAAAAATAGCCAGAAAATAGCAGGAAAATTGAATATATATATAAATGGTGTACAGAACATCAGGCACTGCCTTCAGGATCCACTTCAGGATCCATCCCAAAAGGGAAATATCACCTGGCTTGACCAAAAAGTGAAGAAAACCAAGCAGAGAATGATTTTACCTATCAGGGTCCATGTAATGGGATGTTGGGATGATGGTCACATGACCAATTACCAAAAATGGTCAAAACAAAAGTTGTAGCCCTACACTGTAGCTTCCTGAATCTGTTTGAATTATGTTCTGAAGTGCTCCCGTTGTGGAGATATGGGGTAAAGGAATCCCAAAAGTGTCATGTTTTGTTTTTTGTTTTTTGCATTTTTCTCCATGAAAACAAAACCAAACAATATGATTTCAGTATATTTAGAAAGCTAAAAGAAAGGGCTACAACTATTGTATCATGGGAAAAATGACCAAAAAAGGAAGGTGCATGCCCTAGAAAAGGAATGGTCAGATATAGACTCCCAAGTTTACTGATAGACTACAAAAAAGTCGGACTCTAAATATATTGAAATCATATTGTTTGGTTTTGTTTTCATGGAGAAAAATGCATTAGAGTCCGACTTTTTTGTAGTCTATCAGTAAACTTGGTAGGCTATAGGGTAGTTCACGGTAGCGTTTTTCAGCTTGTTTTTCATCTTGTTTTTTGATTGAAAAACAACATCAAAAACAACTCAATTTTAATTACATTTAAGACAGATGGACCTCTGCTCCAGCACATCTTTCGGTTGCGTAGAGCCCCAGTCCCATTTTTTCTTGTAGTATCCATGGTAAGTATTGTTGTTGAAAGATTTCGATTTGTTTTACATTTAAGACAGTTGGCTCCACTACCCCTTCATGGTCCTTTCTTCAGCGTGGACGGATGGTCATCTTAAACGTGAGTAACCATATTTGCTCACTTTGTCTACCTTCTGACACACCTGGATTTGACTCCTTGTCATCCTCGTTGTGATGGCTTTGACTCGATGTCGGCCTTTGTGCAATCTGGCGGTTTGACTCATTGTCGCTGCTAGTCTCTCATGGGTCCGTGAGGAACAGAATGCTCATTGTTTCCAAAATATTCCAGCCATTCCTGTGCCGTCTCATTTCCATGGACAGATGGCCCTCTGAATTGTGAGTTACCTTACTCTTTCTCCTTCTCTCCCTTTTGGTGCACCTGGACTGGACTCCTTGTCATCCTCGTTGCGAAGGCTTTGACTCCCTGTTGGCATTTCCTTCTGGCGGTTTGACTCTTTGTCACTGCTATTCACTCACAGGGCCGTTGAACACAATGCTCATTGTTTCTAGTGCCATCTCCTTCACTCTCGTCAGACCAACACAGCCCTTCGATAGAGTCACATTTTCACCTGAATTTTTCATGGTAAGTTTCGACGTCGATGGATTTCGATGGATTTCGATGTCCCTTACATTTAAGACAGTTGGACCTCAAGTTGTATGCACTTCATGTGCTGGAATTCAGTCATTCATGGGCTGGGTAGGTTACTTCCTATGAAACTTCATATCTGGTGCTAATTGCCTCTCTCAGTGTACAACGTTGAAATGATTGCCGATGAACATGGTTACTGCATAACACCATGGGTGGGAAACGACTGTGTGTATACAGTGGGACAATCCTTTCATGGATGCTAGCACCAAGATCGCTTTCCACTCTACTCCCCTGAACACAGTATTCAACTTGTCTGTAAGCTTTGTTCATCTCCCTAAGCATCAGCTAACTCACCAGAATTCACACTATGCAGACTGATAAATATGTCCAATCGGAAGATCTCAAGCACACTGATAATAATGTCCATTCGGAATATTTCAACCCCCCTCCTGGCCAGCCCAGTCAGTAATGTCGATGGTCCTTCGGGTTGGGGACTTTTCGCACTGTGCGGTTGAAGACCTCGCACTAAACAGTTGGAGTTTCTGGACGCCCTCGACAATGACCTCATCTCACTATATTACATTGCCCTTACCCTGACGCCCAAACATGCCACAACACCACAGTAAATCCCTTCGGGTTAGCATGTCCCTGTGCTGGCATGGAAGTAAGAGTATATAGAAACACAGTGCGACGCCTTTCTGACCCAAACCACTCAAAAGGCCCTCCAATTTTTTTGAACAACAGAAAAAAACTTAATTTCCCAACCAAAATGTCTGAACCTCGAAAACTTCGCCCTCGTAAGTTGCAGCCTGTCGTTCTTCTACCCCCAGTGGGCAGAGGTAACACTTCCACCAAGGTGAGACAATCCTCTGTCACTGTTAGCCACGATGTTTAAAAAATTTGCAGAAGGGAGTGGGCAAGGCAGCCCAGAGTACAGACAACGAGAGTTGTGTTGAGGCCTTTCACCTCAAAGTAATTTTAGCACGACAGATGCTGATACCGGCGGAAACGTCATTGGCAAGTCCGCACCCACTCAGGCGACAGGTCTTCCTACCCGTAGCCGAGCCAGGAAGATCACTGTTCCTGTAGTCAACACCACCGTCAACGACCTACCTACTCCGGCACCTTCCTGCCCCAGTCGGGCCAAAAAGTATGTTTGCTGCTAAAGGGAAATAAAATCACTAATACTTGCGTGTAGAAACAATTCCAAGGCCGTTAAGAAAATTCCGGCTAGTGAATCTAATCCCAATGTGTCCGTGCCCATGGTGGACATCAACAGGTGAGGACTTGATAGTGATTGATGGGGGTGAGTCTCATCCTGAACTTTAGGATCATTGTCTTGGAGGATGGCAATGAGCCCCTTGTCGACACTGAACCCAATCAGTCTCTGGGACTTTCCATGGATGCGGCGCCCAACTTCGCCATTAATCTGGGAGCCACTCAGTACAATGACCCCAGTCAATCGACGGCACCAAGTGCCGACATTAAACGGTATTGCTTTTATAGTTATCTCCTGACAGTTCTTCACTCAAATATCTTATCCTAGAATGATGAACTTTGCCAGTAACTCCAAGCCCGGCGTGGGAGAGAAGGATGCAGCTTCTGAGAGGGAGGCCAATTCTGCCGTGGTCAAGCTCACCCAGATGAAGTCATACTGCACGTATGGCGTCAAGCAAGTGTGCGTTCCTTTCCCTTTGTCAGGGCTCTCTGTTTGACTCCTTGTCGCGGAGAGTCCTCCCAAGTGAAATTTGACTCCTTGTCATTTCACTCGGGTACAGTGTTAACTCCTTGTTCACTGCTTCCACATCTGTAATATTTATCCTCTTCAATAGTTCTCTCTAACATCTATACATACAGGGTCCTTAATGTGGCTGATCCGGATGCCATGCCCACTCAGGACCTTATATCACGTGGCAATCGGTTGGTTGCTCTGCCATTGAGACTACACGGGTGTACAACTCACCATAATGCCAACAGAGTCATTGATAATTTGGCCATAGCAGCGGAAGACTTGTTTTATAATAGAGACCCAAAAAAACGGCCTTCAGACTTCGAGAACTCCCCACCTGCACATCATGCAGACAGTGCGGGGGGCAGGTGAGTGCTGGTCAGGCGTTCAGACAAACAAGACATTGATATTCTGGCACAGGGTATTGTCTGGGTCGATTGGCTTTGGCCTGCCATTGTCTGTCCAGGCCACGTTGATGTGAGTGTGTGTTTCCATCGAATTTCCCCATCTTGTTCAACATAACTCACAGTGCTGCATCTGCCAGAGTTTCCCTGCCAGCAGAGGGCACGTTTTCAATCAAATCAACTTTCATTCCGATGTAGGTAACTTAAATTGATCTAAGTAAGGGTGGTTTCTGACAATATTTCAGAAATGATTCGTCTGGGGTTCTTCCCTGTTCACCCATCTCTGGCCCCACTCAGGTTGTGTCTCGTTCGCATGGTCTCTACACGTTACGCCACAGGCTGGACATACCTTCACTTACTTTCATTGATCCTATGCTGCGCTATCGCAAACCCAAGACTCCTGATCCCGCTTCCAGTGATGAAGATTTCGATTCCACGATGCCAGAGGATGATAGGCTCCCCATCCCTCTGGCCTCTTCCCTTCCGCATCCAGTAACCGTATATTTCTGCCATATTGGCAGAGTCATGGGGGGAAGGGGTTACATTGGACATCGTTTGAGAATTTGGAAGGCCACTGGTGCTCACCCTGCCCATCAGTATACCCGGTTCACTTCCTGGTTCAATCGGGTGACTCAACGATGGGAGTCTCTCCGCCAAGGCTACACCACAGATCCCCCTCCTGCGTCGAACCATCTTGGCGAGGTGGAGGAATGGTGGGAGGAAGCAACGAGAGTTGCCAGGCGTCAGGCCAAATGCTTAGCGGAAGGGAGTGTAGGGTGTAGCGAAGACGATGAAGCAGAGTCTGGCAAGAGTGCAGATTCAGGTGACGGACCAGAGTCAGGTGTCAGAGCAGAGCCAGGCAACGGAGAGGAAGCAGAGTCAGGCAACGAAATTAAGCCAGGGCACGAAGCAGAGGCAGGTCACAAAGCAGAACGCAGCCAGGAGGCAGAGTCAACCCGATGCAGAGGCCAGCCTGCCCACATCATCCATGCCAAACAATGCCCTTAGTTGCAGTGCATACCGGATGATGAACCTGGTGCAGATATAGAGTCTTCATTGACACCAAGTGACTACAGCCAGTCCAGAAAGGCCAAAAAGCTTCAGCTTGACCATGCTCGAAAGAATCGGGGACTTGGCCACGACGTAATGGATACTGAGGAGGAGGAGGCCGATGATGAGATGATAATGCAGGAAGTAGATGAGCAGGATCAGCATCGTTGAAGCAAGGGGAAAAACCCATTGAAGAACCTTTCGCCAGAGACAAACAGTCACGTTCGGCGTCGTTTGGTGAAGGGCAAACAACCTGCACCTAGACCTTCAGGAGACAATAACAAGGCATGCGATGAAGGAGAGGAGTTCACGCAGACTTTACGTTGGAGAGGTGCCGAGTGACTCAGAGGGAACATGTAGACACAGACGACATGGTGGTATGGACTGGAGAACCTACAAACATGACGTGACATGTAAATGTGTATGTAATGACCCTCTGACACCTATGCAAGACCCCAAACACCAGGGGGATGGAGTATGCATCTGCCAGGATGCACTACTCCAACATCGTCTGGTGAAGAGTAAGCCACCTCCACAGACGCCTTCAGGAGACGATGAGGGATCAGGTGTGGAGGGTGCAAGCGAAAGTCCTCATGTGCGCCCTGTCGCTAGCGCAAAGGCACTGGGAAAGAAACATTCAAATCCCGCGCCGAAGGCTAAGCGTGGGCCTTTCTCAGTTTGTGAAATGGATCAAGTCAAGGAGCTTGCGGACACCATCGTGGAATACTGCAAGAACATGGGCTGTACACCTGAGTCTGTCCTATGCAAAGGGGGCTTCAATGTCTCCCTTTCTCGCGAGCCGTCCTGGTGGGACGTATGGCAAATGTACCTGCGTCACCAGAGTTACAATCCCGAACAGAGTACGTCTTTTTTCTTTGTCCTGGTTATCAGGCTTCATTGATTAGTCTTAGCTGCCAGTCGCTCGTGGCCTACCCAGGCCTCAGAGATGTACAAGATCCTTATGGAGAACCTTTCAGAGGATGAGCTGGAGGACTATCGGCAGAATATGCTTGTAGAGTTGGCAGAGTTCAAGCCGGAGGTTGACCAGCAGGAGTTCAAGATGACAAAGTTGGCTCTGAAGCAAGTTCAAGACTTGGTGAGTTTGGACAGTTTATCTGCAGTGACTTTGTCTGATATTCTGATTTCATAGGCAACGGCGTTGGGAAGGGCGGACTTGGACATGATCGGGGTAATCATTCCTCGTGATCCTGTGGCCAACCAGGCTGCTACCGTCATCACAGGCAATCCTTTGCTGCAATGTGTCATCAAGCACAGTCAAGTGGACATCAAGAAGTTACTTCATCATTTGACAATGCTCCTTTGGTTAGTGATATAAGTATTATCAATTGAGAAGGTATATTGACCTTTAACTATGCAGGGGGATGGCCTCTAATTTTATTGTACCAGAAACTGTGGACATCTCGCAATTGCTTGGAGTTGATGTGGCGAACTTGGACGCAAATGTAGAAGGCTCAAGCACAGTGCCGCAGCTGCCCCCCATGGAACCCAGGGAGCACACGAAGGTTACAAAAAGTCTGGCCAAAAAATCCAAGTCTTCGAAAGGTGTGGCAAGCTCTTCCGACCCTGATTTAACTCAGCCAATGAGTGCTGTTCCTGCGTCTTATTGGAATTGCCGAACCGCGGAAGGGTCTCGACCCATGGAATCTTCTCGAGATCATTCACAGAGATGTGTACCTTACCTAATGAAATTTCAGATTGGTAAGTTCCATTTGTCTTGTTGGGGTGAGCTACCTGCTGATCGGTTTGCAGTGGATTGTGCAGGTCCTGTGATAGCTTCGGCGTTGGCTTTGTGGGCCAACTTCTTCACCCACTGCCATGACGATCGAATGATTCTTGAACGTTGGCCTTGCAATGAACCCATCCCTGGAGCAAAGGGATGGTCAATAACCGACATCAGTTCAAATGGGATTAATATGATATTCACGTACATGATTAGCAAGGATGAGACGAAGGAGCTAGCTCCTCAAATTGTCTCCCGGTCTGATGGTAAGTTTGACTGGTGATGTTCATGATGCATGTTCTAATTGACTGGGCTTTAGATTACATGGACTTGGCAGAGGGGAGTGAGGATTGGCTGGACATACCCATCGTTACTAGTGTTTAAAGGTTCAGTCCATAGGACCGCAAAAAACCGGTGGACCGAACTGAACCGGACCATGGTCCGGTCTTTTTTTCGGTTGCAGTTGCCCCAATTTGGGGTTGGTCCGGTTGCCGGTTGCCTCATTTCGAAAATATATTAAAACCGTTCAAAGACCGGTTTTGATCGGTTGCAACCGGTTAAACGGTCACGTGCGTTACATACCCTTGTAACCACGTTTATTACCTTTTATTGGGTTTTTGTTTCATCAAAAACGGTTAAGAATTGAGAAAGATATAACCAAATCCATATTTTACCCGAGTCTCTACGAGATGTAATTCGGTTGCAGTCATAGCTATGTCAAATCTTCATTAAATCTCTTCAAAATTGGTAGAATGACGGGTATTTACATGCTTTACTATTTCATATAACCTGTTTATTTTTCAGAGTAATAATAGTCAAGATACAAATGGTTTATATTGGTATAATAAATTATACGCAAAAAAACCGGTCTGGATCGGTCTGAACCGGCTCCATAGACCGAAATAGACCGGTCCTAGGTGGTTCGGTTCGGTTCCCTCAATATCTGGGTCGGTCCTAGACCGGTTGCGGTCCACGGTTGCGCGTTTTGGGGGCAAAAAACCGGACTGAACTGAACTTGCGAACACTAATCGTTACTGGCGAATCCAAATCAGGGGCACTCGTCGTCCTTGCCCATGTCAGAAACTGCTTGCCAGAGGTTGAAAATGCGGCTCGACAAAATGATGGAGGTGCTGACTGCCCTCCACTACTCTGTGCCAGAGCTCGTAGCCAGATGATCAAGGTCAACACCTTGAAGGTAGTCAAAAAGAAGAAGACGGCAACAACCTCCACACAAGTTGGCAGGCAGAAGCGCAAGTTACGTGAGGACTCCAAGCCTTCAGGAGCTGGTGTCCAGGTCGAAAAACCACCGACTTCTGATGAGGATACTCAGGCCGGCAACTCTTGCGCTCCTGTTATCTCCCCCATTCACTCTCCTCCGGCCAAACATGTCTGTCGCCAGGAGAAGCCAGGCCAAGGGGCTGATTTGGGTTCACGGCCAGTGCGCAATAACCGAGGTGGACCCAGAGACAGTGGTTGGGAGAGTCAAGAAGGGCAGCATCCCCATAGCATGACCCAGGGCTCAGGAAATGAGTGCGGGTTGGACAAAGGACTCAATTCCCATGGGATGTCCCAGCAGTGGCGTACTCATGACGATGCTGGGTCAAACCGTCCGAGAGGTGTCATTCCATGGAATGACGCCGATGTTCACAATCACAATGACTACGATGCGGATGTTAACATGTATGACGAAGATGGGCACAACACTTTCATGGATGAGTATCAGGCGACTAGGTTCGAACCCTCTTTTTCCATGCAGGATCACCATCACCAACCTCCACCCCAGTTCTCGAATTTCCAATATTATGGTCACCATCCATGACAGTATGCACCATCTGACTTTGGTGGAAGAGGCCGTGGCATCTGCCCCCAATATCGAGGACATGGTCGTCCGTATGACTCTCATGGCTACTATGGCCAAGGAAACGAAGGATTTGCTGGGTTTGGCACTTGCGGGGTTGGACGGGGGCATTCAGAGGCTGGTGATGGGGAGCAACTCACAGGGTGGTGTGCTATGTCGACGACTTCCTAGTGAGGGCCAGGGTTTCTGAAATGTCTTCAACGGAGGAGGAGAATTGATGGTCAGGCAGAGTTCAGGAGTTGGTGCACATCCATGTGGATGTTTGTGTCATGCAGGTTCGTTTGGGGGACTTAGAATTACTACACTATCTAGTACATAGGGTTTTGTGGTACTTAGTACTCTTCAGTGCTGGTCACCGGATATATTGGTAGTTAGGATCATGTAGACCTTGTTGTTTCACTGGTTGAATTATCAATGTGCCATTGGAATACTTGTGCTATGCTGCTTGGACTTGGAAAAATTCAAGATGCACCATACTGATGGTATTACTGTTATTTGGTAGACAGATTGGAATGGGGTTTGGTACCAAAGATATGGTATGAGGCTATACCAGAGATCACATACCATACCATACCATGTGGTATGATGGTATAGAATGGTATGGCTTTGGAATCCACATACCATACCATATGGTATGATTGTCTGGAATGGTTACCATACCATATGGTATGATGGTATAGAATGGTATGGCTTTGGAATCCACATACCATACCATATGGTATGATTGTCTGGAATGGTCACCATACCATGTGGTATGATGGTATGGAATGGTATGGCTTTGGAATCCACATACCATACCATATGGTATGATTGTCTGGAATGGTTACCATACCATATGGTATGATGGTATAGAATGGTATGGCTTTGGAATCCACATACCATACCATATGGTATTATTCTGAAAGACAGATACCATACCATGTGGTATGATGGTATGGAATGGTATGGCTTTGGAATCCACATACACTGCAAACATTCCAACATACTGATGTGAGAATATTTTGAGAGTATTTTGATGGTACATAAAATTTTCCCAAAATACCATCCACCAGGTATGTGATTGGTATGAAGATATATATTTTATTACCCATGCTGAAGTATCTGATTAGTATTTTGATTGTATTCAAATGTTTTTCCTCAATACTGGGTCACATACTAGAATAATACTTCTATCACAGTATCTTAACTTTGAACAAAATATCTTCAACATACTGATTGGCCAATATTTTAAGAGTATGATTCTTCAGGATAAGATACTTATATGATACTAGAGAGTAGATATAAAGGGAATATCTTGAAAGTATGAAAATATATCGCATTTTCATATTGGATACTAACACAATATTAAGCAGATATTCATTAAAGATGACCAACATACTGAGATGCCAGTATTGTGTTAGTATCAAGAACAAACAAACAATACTGCCTGACAGGTATTTTGTTGGTATGGAAAAAGTATGAGAGTGAAATATCTATATACTCTTTAAATATTGCAGGCAGAGTATCCAAATAGTATGCTACAATATTTTATCATACTGTTTGAAAGCTACATTTCATACTTTTATAATAAAAGCATAATACTGGTGTATGGAAATTCAAAAAGTATGTGAAGGGTATGACATTGAACAGAATTTTAAAATCAACAATTTTAATGTGAGGATTCAATACTAGATGAGAAGTAATGAAGATATATCTTGAGATGGGGATTAAATACTAGTTGAATACTTGAAGAGGAGTATTGAAAGCATATCATAATACTACACAATATAATATGAGAATGGTATCAGATAGGTATAGTAATACAAAATGAATAGTTTTAATGTGAGGATTAAATACTAGTTAAATACTAGAAGAGGAGTATTGGAAGTATATCATGATAGTATATAATATAATATGAGAATGGTATAAAATGGGTATGCTAACTCCAATGATAAGAAGAATTGTACTTATATGATAGTATAGTGTGGATATAGAGATTGGTATGAGAGTAATAGAATAGTATGATTGAAGTATGATAATAATACCTTGCTTGTTTGAACAATGAGAGAGTATCGAAATGTTTTTTATGATAGAAGATATCATCATACTAGACAGAGTATTGAGTATAAATTGTATACATGTACAGTCATCCACCTGCTAATGATACGCCGAAACTGAGAAATTGCATCCAACAATTTGAGGTACAACATTCAGCCATAAAAACTACATGAATATTTGAGATAAATTACATTCTATAACCTTACCAAATTTCAGAATGTTTGAACCACAGGTCAGGAAGAAAAGTCAAAATTATGGGTGTATCATTGGGTGGTGTGACTGTATTGCAGCAATTTCCAAAAACAGTCCGTTTTGAAAACTTCACAGCAGCACCAATACTGCTTCAATTGTTCCCAAATTTTGTACTACGGTAGATGTGAACTTGTAGTGCATGTTACAATTTATTTCACAAAGATTGATGTAGTATTGAGTGAGATATTAGTTGGTCAAAAGTGTATCAAATGATGGTGGCGTATCATTGGTGGGTGGATGACTGTATCTATCCATGTATAATTGTATAATTGTATTCTTGTATTCCAGTATCTATGTATACACATATATGTGTATTCTTGTATTTAGGTATCTACATATGTATCCATGTATACATATATTCTTGTATCCTTGTATTCAGGTATCCACATATACACATATTCTTGTATCCTTGTATTCATGTATCCATAGTGTATGTCATGGTTCTGTGCCACATATGTGTATCCTTGTATTTAGGTATCCACATATACATGTATCCTTGTATTCATGTATCCATGTATACATATATTCTTGTATCCTTGTATTCATGTATCCATGTATACATATATTCTTGTATCCTTGTATTCAGGTATCCACATATACACATATTCTTGTATCCTTGTATTCATGTATCCATGTATACAAGTATCCTTGTATCCATGTAGACAAGTATTCTTGTATTCATATATTCTTGTATTCATGTATCCATAGTGTATGTCATGGTTCTGTGCCACATGGTTGTCGTGTCAGTTCAGCTAGGTGTGTGTGAGCAGAGTCGTGAGCCAAGCTGGGAAGCATATGTTGTATGGGATCAAAGAAGTTCAATATATCAGTAATTTGATGTATGCATATAGGAAGAGAAACCTGGAATAAAATGGAATGAGTAAATTGACAATCAACGATGTCGTTAAAACCTTAAATGGGTGAAGGGGCTTGGCTATGGTTAAACATTTGGAGTAAAAGCCAAATAAAGAAAGCACTCCCCTCAGGCCTCAGGTCATGTGCCACCTATTCTGTGGTAACAGGTTGAGCTAAGCATGTATAAGTGCTCGGCAACTCTCCCCCAGATCAGTCTCAGCTCAGGTCTTGTGACTCACAAAATTGACAAGTCTGGTTGTGGAGGCTCTTGACAGCACTTGTGAAGCCGCAATTACCACTGGCTCCACAATAACCGGCTCCACAATAACTGACAGCACCAGTCATGAGCTGAACAGAGATGCTGCATCATCAAGTAAACAAGGCTACCTGCCTCACAAAATAATCACTCCCCTGTCCAATTCAAAGTTGAAATATTATTCTCAATATACCTTGAATGACATCTCATAACTCTACATCCATATTAATTCCTGTAAGTCATGTACAAAGAGTGTGATAGGCAGCTACAGTACTCCCATAGAGTTTAGAAACCTAGATTATCTTCTAGATGTTTGATGGACGGGGTTTGAAAATATATTCAGCCAGCTTTCTAAACAGTACAAATCTACACAAGCATAATCAATTTTTTTTGTGGAAGCAGATCTTGTTCAAATTCAGGATTCTCCACTTGAGCTCATTATCGCATATGTGGTATCCCTGTATACATGTGTATTCATGTATCCACATATATGTGTATTCTTGTATTCATGTATTCATGTATTCATGTATACATGTATACATGTATCCTTGTATCCATATATCCACATATATGTGATGTATACACATATCCATGTCATGTATACATGTATTCATCAAGAATATGCATATATGTTGGATACATGAATACATAGCTATGTGTATACAAGGATACCCACATACATGGATACCCGCATACAAGAATATGCATATACATGGATACATGGATACATGCATATATGGATACAAGGATACACATATTCATGGATGCAAGAATATACATATACATGGATATACATATTCATGGATATACATATTCATGGATATACATATTCATGGATACAAGAATACACATATATGTGGATACATAAATACAAGAATAGATAAGATACATGAATACATGTATCCTATTCATGAATGCAAGAATACACATATATATAAATACAAGAATACACAAACAGACATATGTTTGTATTCACGTATCGACATATACACGTATTCTTGTATTTATGTATCCATGTATCCATATATATGCATATTCTGTATCCACGTAGTTGTGTTCTGCTCATACCATGACATTTGCATGAGCTTAGAGTCTGTGCCCTCTACTTCTGACACTTAGAAGTTAGTACTGACTTCATATTGACTTGAATGAGTGGTGTTTGGCAAGCAAGGTGCAACCAAACAACTTGAACTGAACTCATGTGCAAGTTATACTAACTCACTGGCATTGGAACATTGTAAAATAGTGTAGAATATCCCTTGTATATAAATACTGCCTCTTTGAATGCAAGAGAGGCATCTCTTAACTTTACCCCACTTTATCTCTCATATTTGAGAACTGCTGTAAGCACAAGCAGTACTCTTGTAGGACCAGGTAAAGCTTCATGCTACCCAGTCTGAAGCTGTCCTAAGATTGTTATGCTTCACACTGACATCACATATGATTAAAGACTCGCTCTAATCATTCAGCAGTCTGGTACTCAATTTCCTTACTCAGTTTCAAAGTCTCTAAAATACTTCAAAGATACTTACAGAACCCTATGGTCTTGCTCGTGTCTTCTTTGGTAACCCAGATAGTTATTCATTTGTATTCAATTTCTACTGACAACTTGTATACTCATAGGAGTACACCAAAGATTACGAGCCATATTGTAACAAGATGAGCCAAGCACACTGCTCAATTAGAAGTTGTCCAAAATTTTGGTAGTGAATTATTGCCAAGAGTGTTAACATCTTCTGTAGCTTTTTCATTCTTTTCATTTGTGAATCAACTTCTTGTCCATGCCCATGCATCCCTCCCACCTGATGCACTTGAAGCCTTCAAAATGAATGGCAGAAAGTAGTGCAAACAATGTGATACTGTAATTTCCCAGTCCAATCCTGCAGCATAACACCATGGTAAGGTCCAGAAAATGTCACTTGAAGATGATTAGCCAAAGAGAATGCAGTGAAAGTATCGAAAGCATGGATTCAATGTTGCACATACTTATCACTGAGTTTATCTAACACTCATTTAGTATTTCTACAGATACATGAATACATGAACATATGAATACATGAACACATGAATATAAGGATACTTGATACATGTATATGTGTAATGTGTATATGTGAATACAAGGATACATGTATACATGAATACAAGAATACAAGTGTATATGTATATGTAGATACATGAATACAAGGATACATGTATATGCAGATACCTGAATACAAGGATACAAGAATATGTGTATATGTAAATACAGGAATACAGAACATGTGTATACATGGATACATCAATACAAGGATACACATAGATGTGGATACCTTAATACAAGGATACATGTATACATAGATACCTGAATAAAAGAATACAAGAATATGCATATATGTACATGGATGTATGAATACAAGAATATGTGCATACATGAATACATGAATACAAGGATACAAGGATACATGTATACAATATATACTCAATACTTTCCCTAGTATGATGCTAACTTCTATCATAAAAATATTTCAATACTCTCTCATTGTTCATACAAGCAAGGTATTATTATCATACTTTAATCATACTATTCTATTACTCTCATATCATATTATATACTATCATGATATACTTCCAATACTCCTCTTCTAGTATTTAACTAGTATTTAATCCTCACATTAAAACTATTCATTTTGTATTACTATACCTATCTGATACCATTCTTATATTATATTGTGTAGTATTATGATATACTTTCAATACTCCTCTTCAAGTATTCAACTAGTATTTAATCCCCACCTCAAAATTACCAAGTTGAAATTTGTATACCCTTCTGATACTGACATGATATTATATTGTATAATATTATGATATATCTTCATTACTTCTCATCTAGTATTGAATCCTCACATTAAAATTGTTGATTTTAAAATTCTGTTCAATATCATACCCTTCACATACTTTTTTAATTTCCATACACCAGTATTATGCTTTTATTATAAAAGTATGAAATGTAGCTTTCAAACAGTATGATAAAATATTGTAGCATACTATTTGGATACTCTGCCTGCAATATTTGAATAGTATATAGATATTTCACTCTCATATTTTTTCCATACCAACAAAATACCTGTCAGACGGTATTGTTTGTTTCTTCTTGATACTAGCACAATACTGGCATCTCAGTATGTTGGTCATCTTTAATGAGTATCTGCTTAATATCATGTTAGTATTCAATATAAAAATGTGATATATTTTCATACTTTCAAGATATTCCCTTTATATCTACTCTCTAGTATCATACAAGTATCTTTTGAATATTATATATAATGTTTTCAAAGTATCTTATCCTGAAGAATCATACTCTTAAAATATTGGTCAATCAGTATGTTGAAGATATTTTGTTCAAAGTTAAGATACTGTGATAGAAGTATTATTCTAGTATGTGACCCAGTATTGAGGAAAAACATTTGAATACAATCAAAATACTAATCAGATACTTCAGTGTGGGTAATAAAATATATATCTTCATACCAATCACATACCTGGTGGATGGTATTTTGGGAAAAAATTATGTACCATCAAAATACTCTCAAAATATTCTCACGTCAGTATGTTGGAATGTTTGCAGTGATACCATACCATATGGTATTATTCTGAAAGGCAGATACCATACCAGTGGTATGATTCAGGAAGGTACCATACCATATGATATGATTGTCTGGAGTTGGTCTGGAGGTATGACTTTGATTCAGTTCATTGACAATACCTCCAGCACTTATTGGTATACACATGTCCAGCTTGCAAATACCCTTAATAGCATGCAGATGGGATGTAGTTTGGCACGGCAGCTTTCCACCATTGAATTCACTAACACCCCCTTGGTCCTTTACCACATGTTCCCCACTCAACCTTACCCCACTTCTAACCCATAACTTGACACATCTATATCAGCCTGAAATTCCCTTAATTTATCACCAACACCCTGCCTCTCTTTACAATTTTCCCCATTCAAACTTATCCAACTTCTAATCCATAACTTGGCTTATCTATATCAGCTGAAAATCCTCTGCTTACCTTTTTTGCCAACACCCCACTTTTCTTTACCATGTTCCCCACTCAACCTTACCCCACTTCTAATCCATAACTTGACTTGGTATCATGCATGGTTCAGGACTGATAGCCAATACAGAAAATGTCTTCTTTTCTTTCCTTCTCAAATACCACATCATCACAATGGATGCAGTATTGATTTATCTGTGATGAATATTGTTCTAATTGAAAGGACTGGGAAAGATATGTATCATTAAATGGCTTTGGATGCATGGGAAAGCTGGGATAAAGCCTATTTAAACTCATTTTCAATAGATGGTTTGGACTATCTGGCCTCAATTTGTAGCCTAATATCTCAGGAAAAACCTGGAGAACCACCCCACAAAAAATGGCACCCAATGGACCAGTATTGCAGCCTGCAGAAATAATTTATATATTTTGGAAAAGGACCCCAGACACCCCGTGACAGTTTTGGTATGATGGTATGGTATGGTATGAGATCATTTGGTATGGTATGAGATGACATGGTATGGTATGGTAACATGGTATTGGTATGAGTGGGATATGGTATGGATTTTCCATTCCATGGTACCATGGTATTGGTATTGAGCTCATATACCACCCCAGAATGGGTACCCTCAAGGTACCCTAAATCAAGGAATTGATGTACCTCATAGGTACCCTAAAATGGGTGACTGAAGTGATGTAACATATATTATATCATCATGAGTTCTGCTCCATTTCATGCGATTTTAGGCTTGCTGGAAACGCACAAATTAGAGCTTTAAAACGGGTCTAAGAGCCCATATTATTTCGACGTTTACGGTGACCTCCGATAACATTTACCATTTTGGGGCAGATTCTTTGCCAGTAATTGGTCCATAGTCCTGTGAGTTTTGAACCAAATGCTACGTATATAGACGCGTTGGAAATGACTGAAACGCCGCTTTCCAGCGCAAAAAAGAACACAAAAAACGAACATGTTTTGCAAAGGATACTTCATCTTCTTTGTTGTTGCACTTTTTGTAGGTCAATCAATCTCTGAACAGTGGTGTAGTTTCTTCTTGTTCCAGCCTCATTTTGATCATAATGATTCATATACAATAAGAAATGTTCTTTCTATTGAAATCTAGTATACTGGTAGTTTCAGGTTATCTCAGGACAGTTCAGGTTGCCCCAGGACATCCACCCTTGTGACACCCTGGGAAAAAGCTTACAAACATGTTTGTCCCAGAAAAAAAGTGATTTTCCTGATGTCTTTCAATTGTCCAACACTATCATCGACGACATCAACCCACTCAACTACCGTCTAACTACTGACAACTTTATCACACTTACCCTTCCTACTGGCCAACTTCTGTATGCACTTGACCCCGCCACTGGCACTTCTTTGTGGTGGCCCGTGGGTGTTATGCCACATAGCTCACATTGTTACATGTGCAGCCATTCATTCCATTCCTGTTGATCCACTTGTTCCCATCACGCAGTGCATGTACATCCCTCAGTTCCAATTTTATTGCATCGCTATGGAACGTCCAGCAATCCTGTTGACCTTGAGCCCTGACTGCATGAATCTGCTTTATGGATACACTTCACAGGAGAACATTCAAGCATGGTTCACCAACTTCCAGACCATGGGAAGACAAGCTGTACAATGGATTTGTACGGTGTGCAGCCAGTCAGCATACCTGGGCCTTTATTCAGGTTGGAACTGGGAAACACCTACTCAGAATAGCTCGAGACTAGAATTTCCCAACCATCATCTTATCAAGGGATTTGATGGTATGAATTTTAGACTCATAATTTTTCACATATTAACATGGATCGTAGTGCACACCAATTTCAATTCTTATACTCTTCCTTCAACCTGTACCTGTAACTCTTTGACCAGTGATTTGTCTAGCAAGGTTGGAAGCCTTATGACCGACAAGGACATTATTATGGAAGACGTGCATTACGGTAAGCAGCTGGGATATCTGTTAAAAATATTAGCATTGAAATATTTGCCAGACAACAGGAGCCTCATCCCACATCCAGTACACTCAGCCTATGCAAGATGCTACTCCAATTATGATGTCTTCAGCAAGGAGACTTTGGTCAACAAGGGGTATGTCAAGTGAGGAGCTGGAGATCTTACACCATACACTTCCACATTATCCCCACTAAACTCAACCACATTCCCAATTCTTTCACTCCCAGAGGCAGACATTCATGATGATTAACGGGTACTTCGAATTTTAAGGACAGGGGGGGTATGTTAGAGTACTCAGGTTATTACTAGTCTTTTATCCTTTCATTCTCACTACCAGACAACTCCACCAATGTCTTGTTCCAACTGTTGTATTATCTGACTAGTTATCACTTACAGTTGAGTGCAAAAAGAATGAAGGTTGGTTCATTTTTCTGGTTCTTTCTAAGATTCTATTGTACCTCAAGTGTATTTGTGTATTCTTTTACATTATGTAGTTGTGTTACACTTCCCTTGGTATGGACTAATTTCAGTGAAAGCTGGAGCCTTGAGAAGGTTTTTATTCTGGAGGCCATTTTTGGCATCTGAAAAAAAAAAAATGCGCTAACTGGGGAGGTAGCCAGAACATACCTCTGGTCAACCTGAATGAGCCTATCAAAGAATCAGTCAAAAATACTGAGCAGTTAGGTCTGTAGAGGCTTTGGAAAATGGCTTGTTTTGTCTAAAACAGGCCAAAAATGACCAAAATAGCACAAAATGACCATTTTCTGGAGGCTCTACAAGCATAACCGCTCAGTATTTTTAACTAATTCTTTGATAGGCTCATTCAGGTTGACCAGAGATATGTTCTGGCTACCTCGCCAGTTAGTACAATTTTTTTTTTTTCAGATGCCAAAAATGGCCTCCAGAATAAAAACCTTCTCAAGGCTCCAGCTTTCACTGAAATTAACCCATACCAAGGGAATACACAAATACATTTGAGGCACAATAGATTCTTAGAAAGAACCAGAAAAATGAACCAACCTTCATTCTTTTTGCACTCAACTGTAGTTGTATTCTGTTTACTATTCTATAGGATAGTTGTATTCTGTTGTCATTTGACTTGAAGTGTTCACAAACACGTTCGCTGACTTGTATATGCATTGCACATCTTGTTAGGCTTGTTAGGATTACAGGTTTGACCAAACAACTCTGGATTGAGTCATGCTTTGGTAAAGAATCTGAGAGAACATTGTAGCACAAATATGAATGAACCAGATACTTCTAAACTAGATACTGCATGTATTTAAATTAGTTGAAATGTAAGAAGTAAGGATCATACTTACTTTTACCCCAGTTTGACTTGACTTAAGTTCTCTGAACTGAGCAGCATCCTTGAGTGATTTGGTAAGGCTTAGCACTATCAATCAACTTTGATCAACCATTAAAGCTAAGCGCTAACACCTCTGATCATCAAGTGATGCTGCCCATCAGATAATCAAGACAAGACTCTCTATGCTTTTAGGATCACATGCCCTCTACATATTACATTCTACACTTGACTCTCAATCTAGGTAACATTGTCTACATATGATTAACTACTGACCTGTATTCATAGGAATATCATAGACTCTAACAATGAGGATGAGGAGCTGGAAGATGCTGTAGCTGTCATCGAAAGGTTCTTGTACATTGGCACTGGCACACTGGTGTACGAAGCAGAGACATTGATAGCTGTTTTGTGATTCCTTGCACAGTGGTGGTCAGCATCTCACTGCTGCCACTGCCACTTCCTGATGGGGTTAGTGTGGAGTAGCTTTCAACCATTTTTTTCTCTCCTCACCTGTGACAGGGGGCAGGATTAGCAGCAGCTGTACTCTTTTCTGGCTGTCTGAAGCTGCCAAATTCCCACCTTTTGATGCTGCAATTGCAAGTTGCATATGAACAAGAGTTCCTCCTGATTTGCAAAGATGAAGAGCTTGAAGACAGGAAATATTGTTTGTACAGTTCACAATGGCTACTGGGACACTATGGGCATAAACATCATCTCAAAATGGACGGAGAAGGGAGGTGATACAGAAGTACTACCACCCTGCCCTTTTCCATGCCAATGTTGGCTGACAACATCAACTACCATCTCATTGCCCATCCTCAGTTCCATATTGTCACACCACCGCAGCACAGCACACAGTGAGCTGCTCCATGTCAGGCACCACCTGAGGCCTGATTGCTCATCTGCTGGTCCCCCCTGTACCTTAGATAGGTCTTTGTTCAAAATAGATGTTTATTCAAAAATACCACCACTTTACCAGAGGGTTTTTATGTCTGTCTTGCCATTACTTGGATGCAGACCAGCAATCCAGCCAAACAAGTGTCAATTCTAAACTGAAAAGTGGACATCCACTTTTCAGTACAAAATTGACATCTATTTGGTACTATTTGTCTATAGCTCTCAAAGAATAATATGACAAAAAAACAGGTCTGTATAAGAACAATTCCTTATGTAAACTCCAGGACTCGTAATTTTCCACTGAGAATATGCCCAATGCAGCGAGAGATGGGCACCTCTGGGGAAAGCAAAATTGCCTGTCTTGGCAGATCCAGAGCCTTGACCATGTTTTGCCACCTAGCATGCTGACAGACAAAGTTGATCTGAGGAGAGGTGGATGCCATATATATCATAAAGGTAGAAAACAATGATTACAGTAACATAACAAAAAGTATAGGAGTATTGCTTTGAAGGAATATAGCAAACTTGAAGAGTTATAGGGAGTGCTAGTGATGGGTTGCGTGGCGGACCAATTTTGCCACCATAGTTCCTGCCGGAATCACCCCAGAACTTCCAATTCACAAATGCACTCTCATTATTGAAAATTGCAATAATAAATTAACTGCAAAATTGTAAGCCATTATTAATATAAGACATCAGGTGCCTTGGGTGCCTAACAACCCTTATCAGGTGCCAGGGAAATTTCCGACATTATGTCTGCCACAAACAAACTCACAGTTGAGCTGGAACAGGAACTGAGCTGCTCTATCGTTTCACAATTAGCTGGAAGGGCTGCAACTCATGTAAGCGACTGACCAGGACCCTGTAAGCAGGATCGGAAGTCACATGGGGGAGTGGAGTGTTATGGATTTTTCCACTGGGAGCCCCTTGACCTCGATCATTCCTACTGTGTATCCTGTCAACTTGTCGCCTGCCTACAACTACGCCAACTTTGACATGTACTATACTAGGCCACTGGTGTAACTCACAGAGTATTCATAGACACAATCGAACAATACTACAGTCGTGGACAGCCAAAGTCAACCAATTTGATATCTTGGGAAGGACTAAATATTTTGACATTCTGACTTCAGATTCGAACTCAGGATGTGAAAATATGTCCAAAAACACCTCTTTGAAGTTTTTCCCATGAGACATTGGGTTGGCCAAAAATTTGGACTATTTTTGTCATTCAGTAGGGCTCTTCAGCAGCTCTTAAGACCCCCTTGGCAGGTTCCCAATGCCAGAGGTGACTGAAAAATTTAGTGGCTCTTGTCTAATATTATAATTCTGATTGGAAATCAATGATATACAATTTGCTAAAGGTGGGGAGAGGAGGGGTGTCAAAGAGACAGGGTTTATTGAGGGTCCAAAGGGGTGGGAAGACCCTGAATTGCCATTTTCGGTAGTTTAAAATCATTTTTTTCTATGGTGCACCAGACTTAGTCACCACTACTTTTGTACAAAGAAATTTAAGGGTCCAAAATTTCACCTTTTTCTTATCCCTCTGGTAAAAATGCTTCTTTTGCAAAGGCAAACAAAACTACCAGACCGATTTTTATTTGCATCAAAACTGATGGAGATAAAAAAATTTGACGGCTGGGATTTGGCCGGATTGCTATATATGGTATACAATTTCTATATTTGGGTAGACCCTGTCAGGGGTTACCAAGCTAATATTGAGTGACCCGTTGTCTAAAAACCCTCAGTAACTGCGTAAAGCATCTTTTTGGACAAACAGAATGTGCAAGGAACAATTTCCACCCATAAAAGAAGAGATATATTTTTCAAAAAATTTTGCCAACCAAATTGGCCGCTGTACAAATGTAGCGGTGACTAAGTCTGGTGCACCATACAAAAACGGCTCATCAGAATTTCCCCAAAGTCCAGAATCAGATGCAGCTTTAAAAAAGAAGTCGATTGCGCTATTTTTCATGATTTTAGGGGTCCATTTAAGGGTCGGCCAATATTTTGGGAGTAAAATTTCTCATTTCATCAATTTTGAAAAATCGGCTCGTGGAAATCAAAGCATTGAGTCCTAACTTGAATCTTCACGTTTCTGCAATAAAAAGTACTATTGAAGGTTGTGCAGGGTCCTCATATCACGATCATAAAATTAGTTGACTTTGGCTGTCCACGACTGTACCTTGATCGTTCCTACCGTGTATCCTGTCAACATGTCACCCGCTAATGACATGCACCTACCACGAGGTAGCCTGGAGGCTTCATAATCTCGAGCAACGTCCAGTGAGCACTCTCCTTACCTCCCTCCATTCCATCACAGTTACCCACTTCCCTTTCCTCCATGGCAGACGATCCTATACCCTCTGTTGAAGGCGAGAAACGTAATGACTATTTCGTCCACATCTACGGTCCTTTGATGAACAACCCTGATTTTTCCTTGATAAGCGACTGCGGGCCCTGTCACCACAGAAATCAAACCACTGTGTGAGCATAAGATCGGTGGTAGAAACCTCATCGTTTGCATCGACGGTACCGCAAATCAGTTCGGAGAGAGGGTATGCATTTGCGATGCTGTCCAGCGGCAGTTGCTGACACTCTTAAAAGAACACAAATGTTATCGAATTGTACAATCGCATCTTAAAGGAGAGCGGGAACCAGAAAACTTGGTACAACAGTGGTATCGGGACGTACGCTCGGCCATCTTGGAAATCATTCAAATATTACCGGCAGGTGGTTTCTCATAAGATCGATTTGGCGATCGCATGGTGCGCTGAGTGGTTGCTTCATATATCTTGCTTTTCTTTTACGTCTTTTTTTGTTCAGGAATTTTGAACGAACACTATTGGGTGCATATCGCTGGTTGTCGGACAATTATGAGCCTGGGGATTGTATATTTCTTTTCGGTGCGTTAGAACAATATGTGACTTCTATGTCTGTCTATGCTGAGGGATCTACAGGCTTTTCTCGTGGTGCGTTCCAAGTCCGTGCGCTCTCGGCAATGATCGACAAGGTGCACTACGTTCTGGGAGCATTGGCAGACCCAGTTGACGTCTTCGGAAACATCTAGGTCGGCCTGATTCATAAGGGAAATGAGATGCAGATCCCATTGTGCGCTCAAGATATTCCATACTTTATTATTCATTGATTGTTTATCTTCAGTGCATACGAGCTATATGTAGATCCGAAAAGTGATAAGCCATCAAGTTCAGTGACAGTTGGATCGCCGCAGACGACACACACAAGCAGCGCCGAGCGTTTCAAGCAGGCCTTCTCATACAACAACGTACGAGTGCATTTCGTTGGTGCCTGGTATGTAATACGTACTCTGCCTTTATGGAACCCTGTACACGAGAAGAGTTTTAGGGATAGTGTCTCGTCCATCGGGATCACACGCGGAAAGAAAATGCTCCCTCGAACGATCGATGGGATGAAACATGTCTGCTTCTTCCGTCATGCACTGGCGCTCGACGAGCGACGGGTCAAATTCTTGCCCGAGTATGCTTATGGAGGTTCAGCCACTTGCGAAAAACCGGCCGACAAGACCCCTTCAAGTGCTGACCATGGATCCTCAAAAAAGGGAACTAATCCATCCACGAAGAATGAGGGCGAAACTACGAAAGATATATCCCCAAGCAACGAGGTTGACCGCTCTCAGGGTATGAAAAAAGTGCATCCACAAACCTTGGAAGTCTGGTTTGCGGGCACACACTCGGATATGTAAGTGCCTTTACCTGTCCACTAGGGGGTTCGGAATTGTCGTGTCTTTACATTTAGAGGAGGCGGGAATGTCCAGAACCCGGGGATGGATCGTAGCAGACCTCCTCTGAGGTGGATGGTGCTTGAAGCGAGGGCGCTCGGTCTTCGCACAAAACCATTCGAGCGTGAGCTCTCTCGTCACGAGCAGATCAATGTTATCAAATCTTTGACGTTGGGCTGGTGGCCGCTTGAGCTTTATCCCTGGTATAGATTGACATACACGAGGCGCGAAAATGGAAAAAAGACGACTCGCAAGCAAGTTCTCCAACTGCAGGCAATACCTCAACTTGAATTAACTGTTTTTAGGCCTCACCTCGGATCAAGCCGCAAAATACACGCTAATCAGAAGATCCATGGATCTCTCTTGCTGGCCGGAAATTTGAAGAGCGAGTACACTCCAAAAGCACGTTCTGTGGATGACGATCCATCATTCTGGGATACAGCGCGTCTGGAGGGGCTCGGCGATTGGCTGGAATTGGACTTGGACGACGCTGTGCGCGCCCATGTGGAGAAGTTCATAACCGAGCGTGATAGTACTGTGTGGCAGATTTTGCGCCAAATTGCAACTTGGGGGGGTAAACTTGCTCTGTTCCTCAAAATTTTCCGTAGCTCACATATGGCCACATTTAGCGGATGGATGTCAACCACTATACGATCAAGCCGTTGACGCCCTGAAGAAACCTGCTCTCGAGCCTGAGATCATGTCTCAAATCCTGCATAACACGGTAGACATCCTGGGGGCTCATCGAGCCAATTTAAAATTAAGCCCGTCGATTGCAATCCGTCCTCTTGTAGCACATGTTCAATATAAGAAGACAGCCCAACAGTTTATGGAACAATTGACAGATCGTAAGTGAAAGCCACCATTCTTCTTTTGTGAAGGACTTAACCCATCACTCATACCCCAGCTTCCATCTTCGTATTGAGTGGACACACAGGTGTGATTCTGTCCGTCGCATTCTTGCCTGACGGAAGGCGCGTAGTATCAGGCTCGTACGACAATACAATTCGGATCTGGGATGTAGAGACGGGGAAGCCAGTGGGCGAGCCATTCCGAGGACACACAGATGCGATCATGTCCATCGCATTCTCGCCTGACGGAAGGCGCGTAGTATCGGGCTCGTACAACAATACAATTCGGATCCGGGATGTAGAGACGGGGAACCCAGTGGGCGAGCCATTCCGACTCGGACACACAGATGCGATCATGTCTGTCGCATTCTCGCCTGACGGCAGGCACGTAGTCTCGGGGTCAAAGGACGGGACAATTCGGGTCTGGGATGTGGAGACGGATAAGCCAGGAGAGCCATTTCGAGGACACACGGATTGGATTGCATCTGTCGCATTCTCGCCTGATCATGACGGAAGGCACGTAGTATCGGGCTCGTACGACAATACAATTCGGATCCGGGATGTAGAGACGGGGAACCCAGTGGGCGAGCCATTCCGACTCGGACACACAGATGCGATCATGTCTGTCGCATTCTCGCCTGACGGCAGGCACGTAGTCTCTGGGTCAAACGACAAGACAATTCGAATCTGGGATGCAAAGGCGGGGAAGCCCGTGGGAGAATCATTCCGAGGACACACAAATCGGATCAGCTCTGTTGCCTTCTCGCCTGACGGCAGGCGCGTAGTCTCGGGGTCGGACGACAAGACAATTCGGATCTGGGATGCACAGACGGGGAAGTTAGTGGGTGAGCCATTCCAAGGACACGCAGAATCGATTACATCTGTCGCATTCTCGCCTGATGGCAGGCGCCCAGTCTCGGGCTCGGCCGACAAGACAATTCGCATCTGGGATGCGGAGACGAGGAAGCCAACAGGTCCGATCATGTCTGTTGCACTTTTTGACAGCAGACGTGTACTCTCGGGCTCCGGCAACAATACAGTTAGGATCCAGGACACAGAAACGGAGTAGATATTAGGAAGGGTGGATGATACTAACCTGATTTAAGATATCTACCCACTGGACATTCCCTCATCTCCCTTAATATTTCTTTTCCTCCCTCTGCGGTGACTTTCTCGTGCAGATTTTATTGAGTTCAAAGCAGGGCATGTTCAATGAACGATGAACAAGGGACTCCTAGTTTATTGACTACTCCTAACCGTTAGGGGCGCTCAAAGGGGTAGACAGGATTGACGGTGCGGTCGCTTGTCACATGTGCTGGACAAAGGAGGTGGAGAGAAGAAGAGCAAAAGAAGAGTCGACGCGACGGCGCCAAGGAACGTTGGTTTTTGAAAAAGTATTGTATTACGAAACGTAAGGAGAAAGAGATGGCCAAGGGTCAGAAAAAAGGCCTAGGGGTGGTTGACACGACACGGATTGGTTTGAGGGCTTCATATACATAAAACGAAAAAGTTGTCGTTCCTAGAATTTGAATTGTAAGATCGGAGTTCAATATTCAATTTTTAGAAGGTTTAAAGCGAAACCACTTCCATGACGTCGCACTTAGAGTATGCTGGACTCCGACATTCATTCTCGAGAGTCCAGTCGAAGCACCCGAAGCTATGGTGGCTTGAAGGAAGTGGTTGTTTACTTTGTCATATGAACCTGTAACAACAGTAAACAATAGTCATTTCGTTTACTCCACTGTTCAACGTTCAATGCGAGGGCCGCCACCAGGCCAACAACCTCTGTTAGCCGCCATTTCCAAGCGTCAAGGCGACGGATAATACACAAGGCGTCTTTCAGCGCCAGGCCAGCCGGTTTAGCTTTAAAACTTCTGTTCAGGAAGGATGGAACTCCCAGGTCTAAAGTCAAAGGTCTGGCCATCGGTACGTGCATCGCATCACTACTCGGCGGTTACTTAGAAGTTTCAAATTTGGGGGTAATTCGTGACTTTAGGTGCCGCAGCCTTTTTAACGCTCACGTTGATGTACGCCATGCTGGACTTGATCCACGAGCACGACCAAACGAACTACCTCTTGACATGCCTCATCCACATCCAACGAGCCGACGGCGATTTTGGCCCTGTGTATTTCCTGGAGCCGTCCGCTGCCTTGTCATACTCCTGAGAGCTCTGCTCTTCATTCACGGACGTTCCCCAAGACATGATTGACAACTTCTTCCAGGACGTGACTCGTCTCGTTCGGTCTCAAGGGGAGCCTGCTGCCAAGGCGCATACAGTGCTGAGGGAGGTGTCGGAGAAGGTGCATGAGATTTTGGTGAAGAGCAAGGGTGCGGAGGCTTGGGATACTGCGGTTGATGTGATTCGGACTTTGGATGGGGCTATTATTGATTTGGCGGATTTGGTGGAGGTGGCGGTTGGAGAGGACGATGATGGAAAGTTTGTTATGTATCAGAGGATAAAGGAGCAGAAGGCGAAGGACCCAGGATCGAGGAGTAACGATTGAGATATCATTGGATATACGGTATGTTGATGTCATTGATGGAGGGCCGAAGGTGCTGACTTGGAAGCATTCCGTCTGAATAGAGTCATCACTCTTCCCCATGGATATGTTCAATCTATGACTTATCGACGCATGTCCAACCTTTTCGGCCGACGTACACGTATTTGCACTTCCTTCCACTGTATATTTCAACTGCAGGTAAGTCGATGAACTGGGATTCGGTATAGGGATCTGACATACTTTCATTTCCAGCACCTTCCTGAATGGTGGCGGGCGAAGGGAGTTCACAGCGGCCATTCACTGTCGCATGGTAAGCAACCGATTTCAAACTCAGGAATGGAAACTAACGTACCCTCAGCATGGACTCATAAGAATCCCAACTAAAAACATCAAGTAAGTTATCTTCGTTGATGTGCGGGTTAAACGACGATACTCACTCGATATTAAGGACACCCAATAAAGCCTTGAAACGGCGAGCGAGCGTATCAGGAAAGCGGGGAGGGAAGCAAATGGGGGGACTCACCGTGGGTGGCATCCAGGACGACTTTAGCGACTGGATGACAATCAGCGACGACAAAACGCATGGTGGAACAAGATGGAGCGAAAGGCGTCGACGTCGAGAGGTAGGAGAAGGAAGACGTATGCGTGACCGGAGTGGTTACGCGACATCAGCAAAGATTATTACAGAGTCCCGTGAAGATTATGTGTATATTGCAGTTGACAATCCCCTAGCACCAAAACTTGCGGAAATTCACGCACAGGGATGCAGAATATATAAATTGGAATAGAACCCTGACATTTACAATTTCAGTTTTGAGGAGAAATTTCAAGCGCGACGTATTGGAGAGAAAATCATGTACAAGGGGTAAGTCCACTCCTCGGCTAGATTTCACGCAGTCCGTTTCGACGTCGATGCAGTTGAGGTCACTTTATATTATTGTAAGTGTATGTTCACTTACGCTTTTCGTAGCTTTTCGCATCTCGCCAATCCCCACGTATGCAATCCCACGCCATCGATGGGGTACTATCAGTCGACAGTCCACCCCCTCCTTGAGTCTTTGCGCTGTCCCGCCGAATTATGTCCTCACCTACTTTGCCTTCCGTGGTCTCACGGGAGTTTTTTTGTTTTTTTATTAAACAAGTTGTAATATTATTACAAGTGTCCCCTCGGGGAGGCGAAATTATGATCCTACATATATAAGAAAAAGGAGGGCGAAATGCTGAAAAGAATTGGAAAAGAAGGCATTTTTTTCGGTGTTTGCGACTGTTATTTGCTTATGTTTCTGAAATGCTATTGGTTCAATACTTAGATCTATCCGAAAATCTAATCTAAAAAGATACGGTGGACATTATTAACAGGAGGGAGACCAGGGATGGAGGGATGTATCTACAATCGAATTTAGAGGAGGCAGAGAATGAGATCAACATGAAGAAGGCAACAACGAAGGATATACTGTAGACTGAAACAACGATACGAAACCTCCTCACAAAGCATCTCCGCCATAGCCGCAAACTTGAAGTTATTCCCATATCTCTCCAATCGCTGCCGCCTCTCCAATTGCTGCCGATGCCTCTCCAACCTCTTCACCGTATCTCTCAAACTCCTTCCTTCCCCCCACGTACCCAAGCAACCTCCCCGATCCCACGTTCAAGCCTGCACACCACCGCTCTCGTCAAAACTCCTCACAGGCCCCAGCGGGCCCAGCTTCACCCCAACTCGAACTCGAACTTGAAGCAGAGGTGCTGGATCACGTCCATCAGCATACGTATATCTCGCTATAAACCACCCAATCCCGCTCTGTGCCAAATGTGTGGAACAGGAAGGCGTACATCACGGAGGGGAGGTGGGAGACTGTGAATAACCGGGGTATGGAGGGATGTATTCTAGACGACTCGGATCCAGACGCAGAGGAAAGGGAAGCCGCCTGAGCAAGCCCGAAACTGCACAGCACTTCGAATAGGGCAATGGCGCAGATGGAAGGACAGCAGGTCCGGACTGTGCGCGGCTGACGCTGTGCTGCAAGGAAGGCATCCTTATCAGCATGGCAGCGCTGAAGCCATAATCCTCCTTGGCTACGAAATTCCACAACGAGAACGAGCTGTTCGAGTGGCTGAGAGAGCGTGAGGCGGGCATTCTACTGGGTCCTGCATCATTTGTACTGTTGACGAAGGCATGATGGGATTATAGCCGGAGATGATTGTGAGATGTAAGAAGAGATATCGAGGAGATTTATACACACCTTAGAATGAGATTGGAGAATGGATATTTAGCGTTGGCGGGAACTATATGGCAGAATTTTGATTTCCGACGCACGCATTTCACCAATGAGAATTCAATTTCCGCTGCTGGGATCTGCCGAATCTTATTTCTCTTGCTTAGGATTCGATAATATTTCAACCACCAAGGCTGTTCAAAGACAGTAAAAATGGTTTTTAGTAGTATGGATAAACTTGCAGGTGAACCTCCAAACTAATAATGATAATACTTAATTGGACAGTCATTGACTTGCAAGTCTCATATGAGAGTTGCGACACGATGCACAAACTCAACATTATCATACTTACACGCTAATATGCTATGGAAACTATGTATGCTCCTTTAAATTTTATCATGTTTGGTAATAGAATCCGAAGGCTATGCTCCGCGACAAAGGCAACGACTTACAGCTAACGAGACAAATTTCAAAACGCTCCGCTTAGTGATTTTGTTTACTTGTGGAGCCTCAGGGTATGTGCAAATAACCTTACTGGGAATCTATGACTATATATGCAACAAGTGAGAAGGGGCGGGAAGGCAATGCCCACCAAATGGCTGGCCGTAGTTGTTTGGTCAGCTCCAAAAGTAAATAAAATCACTAAGCGGAGTGTTTTGGAATATGGTCTATCAATACCTCGTTAGCTGTAGCATAAAAACAAGTCAATGAAGATTTCTTCAGTAGTCTTTTTTTTTTACGGTGGATGCAAGGTGGACGCTACCAATGGCAGACAGCTTGGAACATAAAAATCCAGAAAAAAATACGTCAATATAGAAGCATTGTTTTTATTTACGGGGTGCCAGCCTCCAAAGCTTACTAAATATCATAAATACATATATTCTGGTACTGTTCTGTGTCGGATATAATAATATAAGGTCCTCGACCATGCGAGTTCAGCCGATTTTTCTGATCTCCAACGGACCGAATCTTGTACTCCCATTCACTTGCCCATTCACTGGCAGTTGACCAGGAGTCACAAATATGCTCTATTTTGGTTTTTATTTTCTGAGAAGGATCTGGAAAATTCTATACATCCAAGAATGTCGAAGTTGAAGGAAACTAATCAGCCATATATCTCTACCTTGTATCTACGTGCGGAACCTACGCCAACGCTGCAAGCGCTGTCGTAGCGCCGAGGCTTTGTGTGTACGTGTTTGACTCGTCGACTGAGGGCGCTGACCTTCGTTTTCAAAGACTGTCGCCCTCTAATTCCACTCTTTTTACAATCCTTTCCATGTTATTTCTTGTGATCCACTCTACTTGCATTTTTGTATCACATCTGTGCTATATTTCAAGCGTCGTCAGGTTCTGGAGAGTGGAGATTACCTAATGGTAGTGGTCCCAAAATAGTCTTGAGAAGCGATTGGATCAATCACGAATTCAAATCCTGCCATATAGTTCCCGCCTACCTTAGATATTGTATGCTTGGGCGGTAGTAGAAGATATATGCGCAATCGGTTGGGCGTCTAGAGTGGCATCGAAATGGATTTTGGGAGATTCAGAGGCGGAGCCATTCGGCCCGAAAATAATAATAATAAATATTTCTTTCTCACCCAACACGTGTTGGCTCGTTACAACACTCCCATCCCTGTCCTCGAAACCGCTTGCACAAGCGGCCGAAATCTTCATCCTGAGGGTGGCTGAAAGTCGAACTCACAAGAGGATTTCAAACAGGTGTTATGTGTTCGAACTTTGGCCACTCAAGATCGTGGATCCAACTTGTTCGTTCATTTCCCCTGACCCCGTACGGGGAACTCGCTGTATCTTCGGAATACACATCATATACGGTGAGTGGGGCCCCAATGATCTCTCGCGTTATCTAACAGCATTCTAGGACGATAGACGCAAGATCAACACTACTCCTCCCCAAAACGACTGGACGGACGACCGCGTAGTACGGCAACGGTACGTTGCTCTCCTTATCCCCGTGCTCATTCCATTAGAAACGTGCTCAAGCATAGACTCATCTTGGATTCATCATTCCTCGCCATTGGCATCTATCTACGATTTGCGGACTCGTGTCCAACGTAAGCTATATTTGTCATTTCAAGTTGGAGGAAATGATGAATATGTACTTCAGAGAATTTGACTTTGCATGCAACACTGGCTACATTTCAGGATGGTGACGACGGTTTAGCGAGGGATGGCGATCAACTTGACGTCAGAGGATGGCGATTGACTGGTGAAGGACGGACGATACGTCGCAAGAGCTGTTTGGACATCGGTAAGTCATCTACAACTCTATAATTGTTGTTCCATCCACGTACCTCTCGACGCAGGTCAGGAAGACCCCCTAGAGTGCAAAAATCGATTTTTACGTCCACGAAATAACGTAGAGAAACCGCTTACGTTCGTCTGGAACGACACTAAGGTTTGGACAGCAAGCACCCCTAGTGCAAGACGGCGAGGGAGTACGTCGGCATGGAATCTATTTCGTCATCGTCAAAAGTGAGGGTGGAGGATATGGCACCCCCAGGAAAATCGGTTATAAATCCGAAAGAAGTGGATCGATTGCAGGCTCATCGACTCCATCATCATCCCCACCATCAACGTCCCCCTCGACTTTCCCGCCCTCACGTCCACATTCCCAGGAAGCCTTCTCGAGGGACTGGGGCCATCGCGAGCTCTTCTTCCCGGCGTGCATGCGCACCTTCCGTCTCAGCTTCATCGCCCCCGACCCATCCTCATTCTCCCCAACACAACCAGGACAAGATACCTATGTCAAAGCGTCAGCCTCCGCGCGGGACCTTCGTCTCGGCTTGACGATGACACCTACACCACTAGTAACACCCACAACGCGGCCGGCTACGCGATCTTGGGCACAAAATATATCGCCTGAGCACGAAATTTCGCATCACCGTTATTTTTTTACTGCGAGTAGACGGTGTTCGGAGTGTCGTGAGGTTGTTAAGAGTCCTCGTTCTTCGGTACGTTTTTTTCTTTTTTTCTTTTTTTCTTGTCTTCTTCACGCTGATCAAATAATACCTACAGCCAAACGAACCTTTCTCCCCCCGACTCCTCCACCTCCCTTGCGCATCCTGCAACACAAAACACTGCAGGGGCTGCTTCAAACCCACACGGTGTCCACCCACCTGCTCTGGTGGCCAGTCATGCCCAATCCGGACCTGCTGCTCTGCCATCTGCGCCATTGCCTTACTTGAAGTGCTGTGCAGCTTCGATAAGGATTACGCGGGGTTCGTTGCGAATTCCCCAACGCGCGAGTTTATCAATGTTGTGATTGCGCGTACGGATAAGAGGACGAGGGCGTGGGTACGTTGAGGAACGTCGAGTTGGCTTGTTCAAGTCGCTTCCCTCTCTGCGTCTGAATCCGAGTCGTCGTCGGGATCCGCGATACATCCCTCCATCCCACGACTATTCACGGTCTCTTACCTCCCGTCGGTGATGTACGCTTTCCTATCTCATACACTTGGCGCAGAGCGCGATTGGGTGGTCCACAGCGAGATATACGTCGCCTTGATGGACGTCATCAAGCACCTCGCATCCAGTTCGAATGGTGGGGTTTCTGGCGTGGTGAAGGAGCCTGTGAGGAGGGTTGAGGAGAGCTGTGGTGTGCAGGCTTGGATGTGGGATTGGGGGGAGGTTGTTTGGGTTCGTGAGGGGGAAGCGGATGGGGAAGAAGGAAGGAGTTTGGGAGATGCGGTGAAGAGATTGGAGAGGCATCGACGGGGATTGGAGAGGTATGGGAATAAGTTCAAGTTTGCGGCTATGGCGGAGAAGATTGAGATGCTTTGTGAGGGCATTTCGTATTTGTTGTTTCAGCAGCTCGTTGGGGGGTGATTGAGCGGGTTGGTTGCAAGAGGAGGTTATCATTATTGCACACGGTCCCAAGACGTCCCAGGACATTTATTCACTTACGCTACATGTACACTTTCTTGTTCAATTTTTTTACATATCTAATGTCGATGGAATATATTTCGGAGAGCGGTGTCTAGTAGTTTGCTATTGAGAGTGCCGTGTAGTTTGCCAGTATATTACTGATTCAAATTTTCAAGAGCCAGCGTATTTTGAAGTTTGGCGCGTTGTTTGCACGTTGTCTCGATCGCAACTCGATCGTTCAAACGTTCAACGTTGGTTCAACGTTCAACCTTCCACGTTCCACCTAGGCTCGCAACCAGCCGCTTCTTTCAAGCTCCGCTTCGCTTCGTCAGAAGCGGCTGGGAGCAACGAACACATTTTAGCAGAGAGACCCCGTGGGAAGTCTGACTTAGCTAGAATTTCATGTAAATCTACAATGCTGCAGCGAGTTCGTCATTCGTCCTCGTCTTTGCTATCGCTGTCCACGGTCTCATCGACATCCTCGACTTCAAGTTCATCTATGTCACGATCGACGTCCGCTATTGTTGGCACCATGGCCATGGTTTTGGAGTCACCATTCTCTAACTCATCCAGATAGCTGGCAACTGCGACATCGTCGTCAACAGCTTCAGTGGGAGGAGGAAACTTTTGGACTGGAGCTCTTGGATCTTGGGTCATGAGTCTGAGGCTGCCTGTGTTGGACTGACATTTGGGTGAGTGGCTAAAATGTTGGTGGGCCTTGCTGCTGGAAGTGATCAGGGATAACAGGCGTCATTTGTGGCGGTTTTGAAGACGCGTGAACATTTCGTCGACTCAAGCCTGGGCTAGAAGGATGTCCCTCTTGACTCTGCATCCATAGATGAAGGGCTGTGTACACTTGCGCAAACGGTAACGTGCTCCTTGTGGCAATCTACGGAAACCGCAAACCCCGTAAGTCATGATATCCAACTAACAATCGGTGTACTCACCGCAATTACAGTTCCGACTGTCCCCTGCTGCGATCTCTGTGATCCGACATTGCTCAATCAGACTCGACCACCCCGCCACCCTCAATCAAGAAGGCCACGTTGCTCAAGCTCGGGCTGCCAAATGAGAGCGTCCTGGAAGACTGATGTGATCGCGTCCTCTTGTGCGACTTTGGAAACAACGGATTCGTGTCATCTGGTAGTGTGTTTTGCACCGTCCGAAGGATGTTGGCATTCTCCGCCTCAAATTGCAGGATTTGAGATGCGGAGAGTTCTATCTCCTCATCCTCATCTTCCACTTTTGTTGATTACCTCTGGAGGCGGCATGTCGCGCGCGGATGACGTGATCGAAAGGTTGGCTTCAGTTGGTCCGGAACACATTGTTGGACCTCAGTGGCCGAGGCAGTGGCTTGGGTTTGGGAAGTATAGTGATTAACTTCTTACCGAGTTACTAGCGATGTCCATTCCCCCTCTAATTCACAGTTGATACATCTAATACCTATAATACCTTCATTGGACATATTCTATCAGTGGAATATACGGGGATAGCACACATAGGAACACCATTGTAAAATATCGCAAAGCGATTTCACGAAGTCAAACTTCCCACGGGCCCTCCGTACAAAATCGCATTTGTTTCTCCCAGTCCTTCGAGGATGTTGGCCTTTTTCACACTCCGCCATCACTTCATCACTCCGCAACATTGCTTCCATTTCTCATCATGTCATCGGATTGACAACATCCTCGAAGGCACTGGTAGCGAGTCTACGTTCCACCCTGAGCTGACCATGTATCCTGTTGATGAGATAACTGTAGCGTCTTATGAAATACAGGGAAAGAAGGAGTATTTAAATATAGGATACATTTAAATACAAGAAATCCGCGAGCGCGGATAACTTGTCTGTGCCTAGGGCTTGCCCGGCTCATTCAAATCAGATCTTAAATAGTAATGATAATAGTGAAATCTGAAAGACAAGCAAGACCTGAGCATCTGGGAAGCTCGATGTGCAAGACAACCAGCTATACCAACCAGAGTGTAAGCTCACAACAAGCAGGTTGGTTCAGCACAGAGGAACTACCCAGTCAAGCAGCACTCTGGGAGAATTTCTTGTTCGAAATACAAATACATTTCAAGTTTCAATGAGTACAGCAGTAGCAATGTAGGAGGGATGTGTGGATCAAAATATAAGTACAAGGTAGATTGTAAAGATGAATATGGCAAGGTAGAAGGACGTGGGGATGAAATATAAGTACAAGGTAGATGGTGAAGATGAAAGAGAATCACAAGGTGAGGTTCCCATCAGAGGCGACAATAAGTGCGGAAGGGATTTTGTTATGAATACGAAATTGTTCGAAGATTGCAGCCAACGAGTCAATGTGGGACTTGTTGTATGCTTTTGATGTGCTCATTGGAAGAATTTCCTCCATGTGATGCCAATAGAGCAAAAAGGCGAGAGAGGTCCAGCCGCCTGTTGCAGTGACAATTTCAGGTGGTACACCAGTGAGGAGAAGCTCAACAGCACCCCCGATGCAAAAGCTATGCCCGAGAACATGCACAAGCATGGCAGATGACCAAATACCCATGCAGAAATTGAGAAATTCGTGTTTGAGAAGCATTTTTGATTGAGAGGAAGCAGTTGTATATGCGAAGAGGGGGGCTGACTCATCTGTGGACGAATTAACAGAGAGATGGTTCTTCAGAGCAGTGACTGGGCAAAGGATATCATCCTGCACAGTAAGGATCACTGAGGCACCAAGTTCTTTGGTTGTCTTGGTCCAAGGAATGTGGAAGTTTGCAGAGGATGAACCGTCCTGCAATGTACAAAAGGTGATCCTGCAAAATATAAGAAGAGTAGAAAGGAGAGAAGGAAGGTAGTGCACATGACAGAGCGAAGAACATGATATTTTCCATCAAAGGCAGCAGCGGTAGTAACAGCTAGCTCGCCCAGTCGTCGACAGCCAAAAAATGTGCAGAGAGCAAGGGCCCAAACTGCAGCATGAAAGGGAGTGGAGAGATTGAGAACATGGTGGAGCACCAGCAGGTGTTCAATGGACACAGGTGCACGGAGAGGGTGTTTGTGCTTTGTACCCTCTTTGTTCGCAGACACCCAGGCCAGCTGAACCCATTCATCGTCACCAAACCAAGGGGCATGGTTGATGACATGCCATGCATGAATGCCAGAGAGCCAAGAACGTATGGTGTTCCCAGCCTGCCTACCCTTATGTTCACCAATAAAGGCGCAAAGGAGAGGGTAAGAGGCGGGCATCTGCTCTTCTTCATCTATGTTCCATCTGTCACAAAATTGGGTGAAGCGGAGGGTGCCAGCGGCATATGTGGTTTTCGTGTTAGGTGCATAAGCACCACGGATTGACATTAGAGCACTGTTAACAAGATGTGAAGGGAGGGAGGTAGCCAGGTGATGTTGGTGATGAGCAGCATGAGGTGTGTCCCAGGTAAATAGGCGATCGGCAGCGGCAACATGGGGGCGTAAAACGCTCTGAGAGATCTGCCGCCCAGCATGAGGTTTCCAGGGTGTGATAGACTGAGATGATAGAGGTGAGAGGTGGTCAAGAGGAGTAAGCAAAGTAGATTGAGTAGGAAGAGTAGTTGGGAGGGGAGGAGGAGCAGTTAGCAAGGGCAGAGCAGTATACAATGTGGAAGGAACAGGCATGGATGAGACTGTGGATGGGAATGCAGTAGAACAAGACTTGAAAGGGAAGAGAGTGTGACGATGTGTGGGGCACGGAGGAACAGAGACTGAACCACCCACAGTCGTCTCAACGACATGTGTCGCCGGCTTAAAAGGATAATCTGAGCTGGATAAAGTTAGAATATAGTCATGAGGACATCACATCAAATGAGGAGAGCTAACCTAGGCATGAACAAAACAGGAAGATAGCTCATCAGGGAGCTGAAACGATGGGAAAATTTGCTTCCCAGCTGGTCCTGGTTCCCCGCGCAAGATAGGATCAGCTGGATTAGCTTGAGATTCAATATAAACAGTTTTGAAGGCAAGCAACGTCGCCATGAGGATAATGTGGGTGCAACGAACCACAAGGTTAAGGTAGATGTTGCCACTACGGCCCTTATCAAGAGCGCCAATAGTGCCCTGATTATCGGAATGGACAAGAAGATGAGTGTCATGAAGGCCCTTTGATTCAAGGAAAAGAGCTAGAAGCTCAATGGCGACAGTCTCAAGCCAGCAGATGTCATGACCGACAATCTTTCAAGAAGGCAATAGCTGGAAGGCAGCCCATTCACCACTGATGATGATGCCAATACCCCATGATGTCAAAGCATCAACATACAAGCCAAGGTCTGATAAAGGACCAAGAGGGTGAAGAGATCGGTGTAGCCCTGGCAAAGTGAGCTTGACCAGCCACCAGTTCAGGTCAGTGATCAGGGAATGTGGAGGATACTTCGTCAGGAATTCGTCACCATGGAAGGTGGAGGCAAAGTTAGAGAGAGAAGGCAGATGGGAGCGACCATCGAGATAGACAAAAGCAATGTGACAAAGAGACCCATGGATCTTTTCAACATCATGCAGATGGCAAGGTCGACCATTGAAGTCGACAAGGAACTGGAGAATGCATTGATGAAATTTATTCCTTTTTCCCTCTGGCAAGCTGACACACTTCCGAGGGATGTCCCAGAGGAAACCGATAAAGGTGGTGATGAAGGAAAAACGTTCATCACCCTTCTCGTCATGCCAAGGCACTCCCAATGAAGAAATGCAGCGAAGCATCTCATCGCGATCATAGTCATAACAAAATTTGCCATCAACGAAAGGGCCCAAAGGTGAAGGAAACCGGAAGGCTTTCAAATCATCTTCATACTTCGGCACTGGAAAGACTCCTTCAGCCCTCCAGATATCGACAACGGCATTTGCAATCATGCCAGCATTACTGCTGGCACATGCGGGCGGCTCCAAAGGGATGAGTGTGTTTGATGAAGAAGTCGTCAGACATGCCTTGGACGACAAGCCAAGGTTTATGAGGTGGGAGAACAGGGCATGTGCGATGGAATTTCTTGATGTCGAGAGTGCATGCCTGCGTTCCAGGAGGCGTGTGAGAAATCTGCATAAGAGTAAGGGACATGAGTAAAATGTGCAGGAAGATAATAGATCAGACAAGAACATAGACATGAGATGTGGGAGAGAGGTGCAGCGGATGCCCATAATATGTGTGAGGGCATAATACACTCAACGTGCAGAAAGGGAAGCATCATTTTGACACATCAGAAGGGTCATCACACTCGACGTGTGGAAGAGAAGTCATCACACTCAACGCGTGGAAGAGAAGTCATTGTGCTCGACGCACAGAAGATAATCATTGTGCCAGTGGCACGGAAGATAATATCATCATGCCAATGGCACGGAACAGGAGGATGAACAAGGGATGTAGGTAAGAATACCCAAAGAGTGACTGGATGCAGGCCAGCACTAATAAAGAAGGCGTCTCCACGCATGAAATGCAAAGGAGACGCGAAAAGGAAAGGATGGAAAGAGGGGGAAAAGGAACAGAAGAAAGAGGGGGAAAAGGAACAGAAGAAAGAGTTACTCACAATCTCAGCCACTTTCGATGCAGTGTCGAAACACGTAGGGAAGTTGTCCTTGTGAATATAGGAGTTGACAGATGCGTGAAGCTTTGAGGCCTTGGACAGGTGTTGACACACCCTCAGCTTATCGGGTACACCTGGTTCTTGTGGCTGAACAGAGACGAGGAGAGAGGAGGATTGAAAGGGGCCATGCAGAATCCTCTCAGTGACTTCCCAAGAGAAAGGGCCTGAGAGCCTGCCTGACTTGACTTCTTTGGTGAGATAATCAGAAACGGTGTCGGGATAGGCAATGATGGAAGGATTGTTGGGCATAACAACAGTCTGGGAAAGGGAAGGCATATGGCCAATAGGGAAGCTGAAGCGCAAATTGAAGGGAAGGAGGGGATAGCTTTCAAAAAGGCCATGTTTGCGCAATAAGAAGTCAGAAGCGCCTGGGTTGTATGGATGCAAGATCTTGTCAAATAGAGCTTGGCCTCACTCAGCACAGATAAGGCAGTCGGGCATTGAGGAGGAAGACCTGCCGCTGCCTGTTGAAAAGGGCTGGGAGGGACGTGACTGAGAGGGGCGAGGGGCGAGTCATGGTGTGAGCTTCCCAGTGAAAGGAGCTTTTGTGGGTTCAGGACCCATCATCCCACGAATGTCAACCATCATCTCACGCTGCTTCTTGGAAAGCTTGTAGGCCTGGTAGTAACGTGCAGCGTCATATTCACCATATTTAGCCCAATGTTCCTGTTGGAACTTCAGCTCATCAGGTTTCCAGGCATCATAAAGGTTGTCTTTAGTGTCCTGGGATGTATAAAAACAAAAATGATCGTTATACCAGTTACTGTGAGCATCGGCTGTGCCTTCCTCGTCGTGTTCCTTTTGGAAGAGATACATGTTGCCAGCAGCCTCCATCCATTGGCTACAAGACAAGGAGAGCTCCTTGCCAAAACACATAGAAAGCTTCTCGACATCAAGAATAATGGTGCCCTTTGTCTCACCAGGGTTTGGATTGGTCTTTGTCGTCAGCAAAGTAGATGCTTCAACATTCAAGATGTTCAAATTCTTATTAAGGAAAAAAGGCAGTGGAACGGCAATACAAAGCTCAGTGTCAAAGAGGCTCTGTGGAAAGGTGGCCGGCCAGAGAACTACCACAACCCAAGGTACCATCTTTTTGCCATTCATGCAACGACACTTTGCAATTCTAGCCTCCTCAGTGGAAAGTTTAATGTTGTCAGCAGTTTTCCTTTTTGATTTTTGATTGTCTTTAATTTCTTCATCAGCGATCCATTTTCCGAGTTTAGCATAGATTAAGTTCGGACAGGAAGCAGCAAAGGAAGGAATGCGGAAGTGATGCAAGTTGGTGTCGTCCAAAGAAACCAAAGAAGCTTCATCAGAGCCAGGTTCCGTATCGACAGTGGGATCAGAAATGTGGTTGAAGGTCTTCTGAGACCTTGCAGCATTTTTGTCCTCAATCTCCTTGTTCATTTGGAGGATAGATACCAAGGGAAGATTTTTTAGCATTTGAATGATAGCCAGGGAGGTGTGAGTATGAGGAACATGAGAGGGGAGGTCTTTACCATCCCCCATGAGTTCCGGCGGATTCCAAGTGGGATGTTGGAATTCCATGGAATTCCAACGGAAACCAGTTGGCTGGAGCCTCAGCCATTTTGGTTTCCAATTCCATGGAAATTCCAACAGAATCCGACAGAATCCAGCAGAAATGGTTGGAATCCCACTAGTGGGTACCACCTTTATCATAAAAATAAGGTAACTGCCTAGGGCTCCCTGTGTATAAGTCCACAGTCTTTATGATAGGAATCATTCCAGTTACCATGCATTTTCATTAGGCAATTTTCATTAGCTACTTGGCCAATATCATTGTGATTTTCATTACATACCTGGGCGATATTATTGGAAATTTCATTAGCTACATGGGCGATATCATTTACGATTTTCATTAGTTATCTGGCCGATATCATTGTGATCTTCATTAGATACCTGGGCGATATCATTGGAAATTTCATTAGCTACATGGGCGATATCATTTGCAATTTTCATTAGTTATCTGACTGATATCATTGTGATTTC